TCTTCTTGGTCTTTCATGACACTATATTTTAGTCAGTGGCCTGGAACTCAAAGGATGGCAACACATCACCGATCTCAACCTCTAATTCATCCCATCTGGGTTTTGCCATTTCCAGTGATGCTGGTCTTTGTCCTTGGCCAGGTGTGCTTGTCATGTGACTTGTTACTTCTTTGCTGCCCGTCTTGGGTCTGTTTGGAGTCACACTGTGCTTTCAGCTGCTCTTCACTGTGTGTTTGCTCACAATATGCTAAAATGTGCCTTGCTCCACGGTCCTCTGTGCTCTACCTAGGACCTTCTACTTGCTCATATCATCTGAATGTTGGTGACCCCCGTGCTAGCTCCCAATTTAGCGCTGGTAAGAAGCAAGACTTATCTGTTATGGTAGTGCCTTTCCCGTAACCCCAGCTCTCAGGAGGATCTTAAGTTCCAGGACAGCTTAGCTGACATAGTGAGACCATGTCTCAAAAATAAATGAATTAAAGAAAGAAATCATATCATAGTGTAACTCCTGAGAGATTTTATGATAAAGGAAAACAGAAAGCTATGCGGCTTGACATTTTTCATAAAAATGCTTTCTAGGATTCACCGTTCCAATTTATTAGTTATATAACACACTTAAATGCTCCCATCTGACGGTGACTTCATTTCTATGAACCAATAAAGTTACTTAAACACATGCCAGGAGAGATTAGCCAGCTAAATCTGTGACTGTTGGATAGAAGAGTAAGTGTTGGCAGAGAGAGCAGAAGCCCCCAGCAGAAAGGTCAGAGAGGACGCAGTGAATTCCCAAATTCTCTTTAGACCCTTTAGCAGCAGTAAATGATGAGGTGACCAACTGAAAGATTCATTCTACAATTGCAAGCTTTTATCCTTCAAGCTCACTGAATCAGGAATATATGTTGGACAGGGATCCGAGAAAACATTTTCCAGATTTTTGTGCAAAATATCCCTAAAAATATGCACCCTACTACATTTGATTCAGCCACATGCTTGGATTCAGCTTTCTTGGGACAATTGTATCAACATTGTATTGCATCGTGTCAAGCATCTCTCTGTGAAAACTAACTGTTATAAGTCGTCTCTAACCACTTAGTCATTCTTGTCTTTATATAGTTATGTATTAATAGCAGAAAGTGTTAACCCTGCTAACTAAGAAGTGAATCAAAAATTATTTGAGGGGCAGGCATGGTGGTGAGTGCCTTTTAACCCCAGCACTTTGGAAGCAAAGACAGGCAGATCTCTCTGAGGTTGAGACCAATCTGTCCTACATAGTGAGTTCTAGGTTAGGCAGGGCCACTCAGGGAGACGCTGTCTCTACATGGTCCCAGGAACTCTAGACAAAGGATACTTCTTATGTCAGAGTTTCAGAGGTCTCTAAAACAGGCATAGAAGGAAGGGCAGGCATGGGCTCTACCTTTACATAGTTACCAAGTAGCTGAGCAGGCATGAAGCAGCATGCTTTCAAAATAAAACAAAAATCGGTAAACAAATGTCCAAGGAAGAGTGTCCGGCAAACCTTTAATCTACTTGGGCACTCTGTGAAGGAAAGGAAACATTTTTGAACTTGCAACCATGCATGAAGTTATACAGAGAACAGGAGGGTGACTTCCAACCTAAGAGCAATGTATGATCGATCACAAGACAGGGGAAGGTACATTTCAATGTCCTAGCATGATGTAGGAACAATTTCACTAGAACTGAAGAGCCATGGGGTTGATTTGATCCTGATCTTCTACTTTTTGGGGCTGTCTTATACAGGCCTGTGTTACAAGCTTCAAAGTTTACGAGAGCCCTTTGATAGCCAATTGTCATAATCAACATAGCCTTTTCCACCTCATAAAGTTCCATTTTCTTACTTCTTAGACATCTCACCATAGCATATTTTGTAACTTTTAGTCATTTCCCATGTTCATATTAATTATTTTTGTGTGGGGAAATTTAAAAAGGAAATATACGCTGTTTAAATCTCAACATAGTTGTTTAATTTGAAGTGCTGACACCAAACACATGTGACTCAGCCTCCTTCGTTGGCAGTCCATCTTTGTTTGGCTTCCTGGGGTAGCTATGCTAATATGGAGAACATTACTGCTTTGGGAAACGGGATTAGCTGAAGTCCAGGTGCTTAAAATATTCCCCAGCCCGAATACAAACATGTCCAAGTGTTTATCCATCAATCACTCTGAGTGCTCCTGATGGGCTATTCTGCTCCCCTCTGTAGTTTACTCTTAGCAATCACCCTCTAATGCCCTAGTAAACTAGAGCAAAGATCTCCTTCTGGATGTTCTCTCACCATTAGCAAGCTATAAACACACTCCAATAGCTTTCTTTCTTTTTAATTTTTATTTTTGTTTTGAGACAGGGTCTTACCATGTAGACCTGGCTGATCTGGAACTCACTATGCAGGCGGGACTGTCCTCAGACTCAGAGACCTGCCTCCCTCTGCCTCCTGAGTGCTGAAACCCAGCTTTCATTCTCCTCTCTGCAGTCTGACTTCTAGTGCTATAGGAATGGTTACTGAATAAATTATAGAAGCAAATGAATGGATCCCTGTCGGAGTGCTTAACACTATGTGAGCGCCTAGTGTAGTGCTGTGTGCTTGTCACGGCAGTTCTAAGAGACTGGGTCTGAGACCATCCTCTACTACATAGTAAGACTGTCTCAAAATGCAAAACAGACAAAACCCCTAATGTTCCGTGAGTTTCATATTTCTATATTACACCTAATTCTAGAATTTTGAACTTTTTCTAAAAGGTGACCAAAAGAGAAAACATTAAATTTCATTTTGGAAGATAAGAGAATCTAGCAAAAGAGGGAGGAAATATGTGATAACTCATTAACTATACTGGGTAGCTATTTTATGTTTAGACAAAATGATTTACTTAATAAATTGTGATGCTGAGTCATTTGTCAGTAATCAGATACACCAAGGGAGGTAGATGAGTGGTGTGCACATCTCACTCCAGCACTCAGGAGGCTGGAGCTGCAGCCTCATGAAGTCTGAGCTAGCCTGACTACAGAGAGTCTGCAACAAAAATTAACTACTTAAAAAATACTAGAGCTATAGCTCAGTGGCAGATCCGCTTCTATGTAGTAGGACCTAGGTTCAATCTCCAGTACTGGAAAAAAGATGTCATACAAGATTTTTTTGAGTTGGGCAGGGTCTTTCAGCTTTGCAGGCTAGCCTGGAACATATATAGATCCTGATCCTCCTGATCCTCCAATCTCCAACGCCTAAGTGCTGGGATTACAAGTGTGTGCTACAACACCCTGGTCAAAACCCATAATCTATAAAAGTGCCCCGGGGCCAGGAAATGTAGCACACACATTGGTAGCCCCAAATATTATGGAGGTTGAGGAAGGATGGCCAGAAATTCAAGTCTGCAGTCCCAGTTCCTGCCGACTAAAGTAGAAGGAGCAAACCTTGACAGCCTGCTCACTGCAGAGTAAGTTCAGGGTCAGTCTGCTTAACTGGACAAGACCTCACCTCAAAACAATCTAAACAGGGATGGGTATACAAACCATGACAGGGTATGTTTGAGACCCTGGGTGTGATCCTCAGAATGTGATAGCTATTCTTGGTTGTCAACTTGACTACAATCCTGTAGTGTTTTTATTTTTTAACTTCTTGGGCATCCATCACACAGCTCCCAAATAAATACGTAGAAACTTATTCTTACTTGTGAATGTTCAGTCTTAGCTTGATTTATTCCTAGCCAGCTTTTCTAACTTAAATTATCCCATCCCTTTAACCACAGTTTTCCTCTGGGCTTTGTATCTTCCTTTATTTTGTATATCTTTTGGCTCCATGGCTGGCTGAGTGGCTAGGTGACTGCCCTTAGCATCCTTTTCTTCTTCTCCTTTTCTCACTCCTCCCCATTCCCTAGATTTCTCCTCCTATTTATTCTCTCTGCTTGCCAATCCTTCCTATTTCTCTCCCCTGAGTTACTACTGGGCATTCAGCTCTTTATTAGATCAATCGGGAGTTTTAGACAAGCATAGTAACAGTTTTATAGCGTTAAACAAATGTAGCTTAAAAGAATGTAATACATCTTTGCATCATTAAACAAATATTCCACAGAATAAATGAATGTAACACATCTTAAACTAATATTCCACAACAGCATCCAGAATTAACTAAAACCTCAAAATGGAGGACACAATTGTGAAATTTGTTGTTGTTGTTTTGTTTTTTTTTTCAAGACAGGGTTTCTGTAGCTATGGAGGCAGTCCTGGAACTTGCTCTATAGACTAGGTTGGCAGCAAACCACAGAGATCCACCCGCCTCTGCCTCTGCCTCCTGAGAGCTGGGATCAAAGGCATTCACCATTTAGATTAATCTGTAATAGTAAGTTCCACTTCTAATCTGGATCTTTAAAATAGCAGAGACACCTTCACTCCAGATCTTTGAGCTGGAAAACCCACCTCTAATCTGGGTCACACCTTCTGCTGGAAGCCATATAAGGACGTGGAAGGAAGCTTTTGCTTTGCTTGCTTACTCTTGCCTTGCTAGCAGCAAGTCCATCCCTTCACTAACATCAGAACCTTCTTCAGGATTCCAGCATCTACTGGAGACCTGCTGAGACATTCAGCCTTCTGGATTCTTAGAACTTCCATTCAGAGACAGCCATTGTTGAACTAGCGGGCCTAGAGCTTGTATATCGTTCTAATAAATCCCTTTTCTATATAGAGAGAGATTCATTCATTAAGTTCTGTTACTCCAGAGAACCCTGACAAACACAAGGAACTATCAAAACCACGATTTTTGTGCCAACCCTTCATAAGACAAAAGTCGAAACTTATGAAAACCAGGGCAGTACTTATTTTAAAGTGAAGTTCTGACCTCTAGTGGCTAAACAGAATTAATAACGGAATCTATTAAATAATTTAATGTCACTATCTTAGTTGTGGTTTCTATTGCTGTGAAGAGACACCATGACTATGGCAACTCCAATAAAAGGAAATATTTAATTCAGTTGGCTTATAGCTTCTGAGGGTTAGTCCATTATTTTCATGACGAGAAGCATGGCAGGCATGCAGGCAGACATGGTGCTGGAGAAGGATGGAGAGTTCTTGGCCCATTGGTGACAGGAAGTGAACTACTTACCACATTGAGCATAGCTTAAGCAAAGAACACCTCAGAGCCCACCCCCACAGTGGCACACTTCCTCCAACAAGGCCATATCTACTCCAGCAAAGTCACACCTACTAATAGTGCCACTTCCTTTGGGGGATGTTTTCTTTCAAACTATCACAGTCACAGAGAGAAAATGACACTGTAACTTTCCTAATGCGAAGCCACGAGTAAAATTCAGATCCACCTGAAATACCCTTGAAACCAATCAAACTTATCGATTTAAAAAAATATCGACTTTGAGGTCAGGTGAGATGGCAAATCTCTGAAGTGACAGCAATTTGGGAGTTGGAGGCAGGAGGATCAGGAGTTCAAGGGCATCTTCAGCTACGTAGCGTTTGTTGGAGTTGGAGGACACCCTGGGAGATCCCATCTGGAAAGTAAAGAAAAAGCAGGTTTGTGACAAGATAAGGTGCTAATATAACAAAAGGCCAGTGTATAAATGGAGCAACTGTGGAAGACTCAGTCAGGAATCACGGGGGACCAGAGTACACAGGGCCTTAATGTCCTATGGGAACAGGGCCCAGATCTTAGCAGGCACCATCTATACAATAATGGAAGTACCTACCATTCAGGTCATAAAGCCAGCATGGAGCGCCACCTGCCAAAAACAAGAACAAAGACCTGATCATCCAAATCCATAGTTCTGGCAAAGTCTCTGAATGACTAGCTTTGCTTTTGGCTTTTGTGGCTTCATTTCTGGCTAACTGTTCTTGTTAATCGAAGTAAGTCAGTCCAGGACATGGTTTTTGTGCTTAAAATCAAGCCTGATAAAATGTGGAGCTACCCTGGGATCCTGAACACTGAGTGTAGTCGCTGGCTGGCTGACAAAGACTTTCTATTGGCTTAACCCCGTGTCTGAGAAGTTTTCTCTGGTGGGTAATCCGCAACAATAACAAAGACGAAGAGTTTATTTTGTGCACACCAGGGGCTCAGCAAAAGTATTTAACAGAGAAGATACAAGATGATCTGGGCATAAGAAGTGTGGAGGGCCTCTCACTAGGGAGAAACAGGCGGGAAAGACGGTCTCGTCCATCTACCCTTACGTTTACCACCTGACATCCACACATGACCCAAATCAGCCTCATTTGGGCTCCAGACAAGGTCCCAAGAAAAAGACCAAGTATGAAAGTGAAAGGAAGAGATAACAAATGGAAAGAAGCAGAAGCTGGGGCCAGGAGGGCTGCAAGGGGTGATGACCCAGGGCACCAAGTTTAGCAGCTGCAGAGCTTTTCTTACATCCCTCTAACGGGGAAGCGGGAAACACACCAGTAAGGAGCATCAGACAGCAGAACTGCAGTGCTCAGAATGTCTCGTTTGCCCGTAGCAAGGTACTTTATGGAACAACAAATCAAGCACTTTACATCCCAGGGTCTGGAACATTTGACCACATGCATATGGTGGGTGCCAAGTGCCAGTTTCTGGACTACAGCCCCTCAAGCCCTGGTGCCAGTCCATGGGCCTTTCCTGGCATGACCCTGGATAGGTGAAGGGCAAAATGTGCACGTCCCATTAAGGCCTCCAGCCAATTTTCAATTCAGTCTGGGCCTCAACCCACAAAGGTGATACTCTATCTCTCCCAGCCTTCGCTCCCCACCTGTAGTGAGAGAGGCTTGAACTCAGTAACAAGGAGGGAACAAGGGAGAAAATGAAACTTAAGAAAACATCATTTTCCCAGGTTAGAGATGGGAAGCCACGCCTTCGACTTCAAAACAAAGCACCCACTAGTGTGTGGGCACTTAGGCACACTCAGGGTCAGAGAGGGTGGATCTCTGTTAGAACTGCTTTCTGTCTGATACTGTTAGATGCTGCTCTTTAAAAGCTCAATGTATAGCGCACACCTTTAATCCAGCACCCAGGAGACAGAGGAAGGTGGACTTCTGTGAGTTCGAGGCCAGTCTGGTCTGTACATTAAGTTTCAGGTCAGCCAGAGTCACATGTATAATACTAACTATAATACTGTCGAGGGCTTATGCTGGAACTTTGGTCTCTCTTTATTGCAACACCAGCTCAGTGCAGGCGGAACACAGGTACACTGTGAAACAAGGGCAAAGAGGTACAAGGATGCTAATGGTCCCCTCGCTTTCCAGAAAAAGCATGACTATCAAATCCTCACTCACAGAATAAAATGTGTATATATTCTACCAGTGCAGTAACAGTCTGCCAGCGTCTCCTTTTCCAACTACCCTGTCTGTGATGTAGTCTTTTGTGCTGTTTTGCTTCAGCTTCAGAACTAGGCTGTTTGATTTCTGACCCAAGACCAATGCTCACCTAGAAGCAGGGACAAAATCCCCTGGAGACAAATATCTGTCTTTGGGTGTGGTTTTTTTATTGGTTGTTTGTTTGAGGCAGTGTCTAGTTCTGTAATGCCAAGTCTGCAAGTCACTCACTACACAACACACAGGCCTTAGATTTGTGGCTGTACTGACGCAGTCTCCAGAGTGCTGGGATTATAGGCATGAACCACCATATCAGTCAAGGGCTGGCTTTGAATAAAACTCGGCTACCAATTCTGTCTCCTGAGTTCTAGGTGAGCCAAACGTTTGACTCCAGTAGTACAGAGACCCAAATACTTGTACGTAAGTGTTTCAGCAGCTTCAATACAGCAGCACGAAGGTAGAAAACAACCAAATGCCCACCAATAGAAGGTGGATAAAATTATGCTATCTGTATATACAACGGAATCTTAGCCCAAAACCGAATTAAGTGTGGGCACATGGTAGAAGAGTCCTAGGGCAGAAGCCCAGCTCTGGGGGTCCCCACAAACAACTGTAACGGCGAAAAGGGAGACTGGGGCAGGTGGAGGCAGATGCCAATCTTTACCACGACTCACTTAACATTTGCAGGCAAAAGTAACTGTCGCTGCTTTTAGTAAACACTGCTTCTACTTTTTTGACATGCATTTATGTGTGTGTGTGTGTGTGTGTGTGTGTGTGTGTGTAGGTCAGAGAACTCTGGTGTGGCGAAAATAAAGCTGGTATTGGGAGATGGATTAGCTGATAAAGGCGCCGCAAGCATACACATACACATACATATACACACACAGACGTAAAAACGTTCGGTGACCTCCGCATGCGCCGCATGCACACACATGCACACGTTCAGTGACCTCGCGCCGCATGTACACACATGTACACACACACACACACGTAAACCGGTGAAGGAGAAAACCGACTCCAGAAAGTTGTTCGGTGACCGCCACATGCGCCGCATGCATACACGCACACATCCCAAATAGGTGTAAAAAAGCTAAGGAAGACAGTGTAAAAAGGACTAAGGACTTTACTGAACTCCACAGGCACCGCGTGCATACACATACCAAAAATGTGTAAAGAACACTAAGGAATTCGCTAGCACTCCCAAAACTCACACCCATGCGCTCCCGCGCCACCCAAACAGGCCTGAGAACTTGCTCCAGGATTCCGCACACTCCTGAAGCTCCGCTAAAGCTATTGAAAAACCGCGGCACTCCCCAGCCCTCCCAGCCCATTCCAAAACTTCCGGCCACCGTCCCGCCTCCAACCCCGCCCGCCCGGCTCAGCCTGCCAATCAGAAGAACGGCCGCCGGAACCCGCTGGTGGAGGTGTGCGTGAGAGTCGCGTCGGGCCTCGCACCGCCTCAAGCCCCGCCCCTTCCACGCTCAACTCGCCAATCGGAAGCGCTACCGCCGGAAGTGGTGGTTGAAGGTTCGGGTAGGCGTTACGACAGGTCTGAGGCCAGGTCTGAGGCCAGAGGCCGCGGCAGGCGGTGGAGGTGGGCGGGTCGGCCGTGCTCGGGGTGTGGGTCAGGTGTCCCGGAGCTGCCGGGGTCGGAGGTGAAGGGGCGGAGGTCGATTCGCGTCTGGGAAGAGTCCCGGTTCGGGCGGGCCCTGCGTGAACGCCCCTCGGCTCCTCTCGGCCCGCTAGGCCTGCGCTGCAGCTGCCGCTGGTCCTTCGGGCTCCGCCACTGGTATTTCTGGAAACTCTCGGCGGGCTTGGAGGAGCACTTCTTCGGAGGCGGGGTCCTTGGGGAGGATTGAAGAAAAGCCGCTTGCTTCTCTGTGGAGTTGGCGTTCTGAGGGTAAAGCCTGGGTTAGAGACAAAAACCAAAAACCGAAAACGCAAGAAAGTGCAGTTGAGATCCAAGTTCACCGGGGAAAGCAGTGTAGCTAATGGATGGCTACCCTGGAAGCCATCTTTTATCGCTGTCAGAGTCCCTAGTTAGGACTTAACTAACTACTAACTCTACGCTTTTTGCCAAGTGCAAAAGCGTAGAGGAGCGCAGACTTAAGTTAGATTGAGTACGGATACTGTGATTGGCGTAAACTTAACATCAACATTAAGGGGGAACTACGTGAGCGTTGTCCACAAGTCAAGTCGTAATGCTTTGCTTAAGAAACCACGGGTGCGGGAGTGAGTGGTGTGGGCTGGAATAGTAACTATAACCAAAGCTGACACACTGAAATGGACAGGGAGTCTGTGATACTTTGGAGCGTCGCTTGCATCGAGTTCTCTATAAAATAGAGCTGTCGATAATGTTTATAATAGTTTTCACACGGGGCCTCGTAGATTATATTTACAAGCAGAATGTAAGAGATAACACGAAGTGTATGCTCGTTCTTCTGTGCAATAAAATAGTTTAAAAATACCCCTCCCTTCTAATTCAGTAAAAAAGAAGAAACTAATTTGAGCTACCGAATTGTGCTTGTAAGTCCATAGTATAGCTTCATATATAGATTTAGTGGTCAGAAGGCTTTCATATAAGTTCAACTTAGGCTTCCTCTAGCAATGCAAAGAGAGGATTAATGTCCTTCTTAAAAAGATTATTTCTAGAATCCACATTTAGGCTTTTAAAAATTAATACTGCCAGATAATATTTCTTTAGCCTTGTACTGACTTAAGCTTTGGGGTCCTTCCCTCCGAAAAAGAGTTTGGCCCATGAAATCTTGGTTTTTCATTCCTGGAATTTGTATTTATCAGAGTCGCATAGATAGGTGGCAGTAAGTACAAATGATGGGGGAAGAAGAGTAGTGAAACAGTCTTCATTATCTTCAGAGCACAGGGTATCACTCTGGTAGACAGGAAGAAGTAGAATAGTGGGCTTCCACTGTGGGTTCTTCAAATTTCTGGACCCTTACCCCATTCCAGTCTTTGACCAGAGTCCAGAGACAGGTGTGAGCATCCATCTTAACGCTGAGCGAGTATCCCTCCCTGCCATAGAGGAAAAGTTCTTCAGGGATGTGTCTCCTTTTCTTAAGGAAAAGGCTCAAAGCCTTCTGGGAAATGTAGCCTGGGGCTTGGGCGTGGGGAACAGAGGTTTTTTTGTTTTTGTTTTGTTTTGCTTTTGGATTTGCTTCAGGTGTGGTTAAAAACCGATTTGTAAAGTGACCTACCTAGCTGTCAAAGCCAGAGGGCAGGCTGTAGAAAGTGTAGGGAAAGGTACTGATGCTTGAAACCCCGTTTTAGAAGTGTTTTCTCAGTGTGCTCCATTTGGTGGTGGGGTTAGTGATTTGAACTTTGAGACCGGTTAGCCCTTCTTAATGAGAGCTGCTTTTCTCAGTGTGTGTGTGTGGGGGGGGGGGGGTAGACCGTTTTCTTGTGGTTTGTTTTAAAAATGTGTTAGAAATATATGTGCCTTGAGGAATTTTCCTGATAATGACAGCCTTTCTTTTTGTGGTCTTAGGCTAAGAGTCTTACATTTTTGTTTTTTGCAGCATATGAGAAAGACATGATTTCCACTCCACTTCCACAACACATCTAAGTTTTATCTTCTTTTTGGATCTGTATCTTATGCCGCAATGGTAAGCTGTGACACAGCATGCTAAAATTTGTATTTTACAGGTATTCTCTTCCTTTAGCTCCATAAAGATAATAGTATACAAAAACACTGAAATAACTTAGCAGTCATGTCAAAATATTGTTTATAAAATAAATGGCTGGTATCTTATCAATCAGTGGTAGGATTATCACATCTGAATCACACAGATAAAAAGTTGATTTTGCCTTGATTTTGCCTTTCCATTTTTCTAAATCTTTAGCAAGGAGGTTGATATAAATGCAAATTATGTGGGAGGAGGGTTGAGTTTCTTGTGTTTTAAGTTCCCTCTTGCATCGTTTTTGTACATATTCTGTACATGTGAGTATATATCTTTGTAAAGAAAATGAGAATAACTTTAATATTCCTCCTTCAGCTCTGTCCACCTTTTATTTTCAGATAGTCTCTTAGGTATAGAACTGGCTGCGTAGGTCAGGCTGATCCCTGAGGTCTACTTCCCATCGCTGGGATCCCAGCTGTGTGCCAGCCAGTCTAGCTTGCTTCTATGGATTCTGGAGATTGAACTAGCTCATGTTTGTGTGGCTGGCAGTCAGAACTATTTCCCCAAACTCCTTTACTTGCATGCTTTAAAATTAATAAATGTAGACAGGTTTAGTTTGTCATACCTGTAATCTCAGTACTTGGGATACTCAGGTCCTTAGGGTCCCTGTGAGTCAGAGGCTAGCCTGGGCTACAAAGTGAACTAAGGATGTGGCCCCATCTCTAACCTCTGTAGTGAATAGAGTTGTGATGTGCATCATCTTCCTGCTCTGGAGGCCTTGCCTGTTTATATCTCCACTGTCAGAGAAAAGTGGGAATTTTCACTGTGGGACTCTTAACCTTTTATGTGTGTGTATTAATGATACCCATTAGTATTTGGAGGAATATCAATATGTGATACAGGCATGTCAGGCTGCCAGATACTGACTATAGATGCCATTTTAGCATTTTTTATTTGCTTAATGATCAAATACCCAAAACAGTTATAAAAAACAAAACAAAATCCCAGTAATGCTTTGGAGGATGGAGGAGAGAAATAAAGCATTGTCCTTGTTTCAGGGAGGGAAACAAGCACTTAGTGAAAAGTGTCAAGTACGTATTCATTTTTTCTGAAAATAACTAATATTGCCAAATATGTGATTTGTTTTTTATAGCAGCAAGCTCTGGAGCAAGCTTTGGATCGTGCGGAGGTGAGACATGACTGATTGTAACTGACAAATTTCATAAGAAAGAAATTTTTGTAATCTTCAAGAGAATATAGTATTTTAGGCTAAGTGTGCTAAAAATTTTACTATGCATGTGTGAAACTGAATGATGTCTGGATTATCAGTCATGTGAAATTCTTGTTAAGCTATCGAATAGTTATTTAAACAAGACCATAGAATTTCTAAAGTTGTTTTTCTATCCTGATAAGTTTCTCTAAAATATCTTAAAATATGGGCCGTTGCAGTCTGATGTGCAATTTAAAAATAAATGTAGCTATAAGACATTTAGAATACATTTTTCCTGTGAAATTGCAATTTACTGTACTGAAATGTTAGGTGAGTCTTAGTGAAATTTAAATTTTGATTATGACCTGTGTACAAGGTGTAAGTTTATGCTTTCAGCCTGACCTGTTGTAGATGTAAGCACAACTACAGTTGTTCATGTAAAAGCTGGATACAAAGTGTTTGACCAGTTCCTCTCTTTCAGTATATTGTTGAAAGTGCGCGGCAGAGACCTCCTAGAAGGAAATACCTATCTAGTGGAAGGTATGACTATTTAATTGATAACGTCTTTGCATCAGTGAAATGAGATAACTACCACTTACTATTTTCTTTCTAGGCATTTTACATGCTGTCAGTTCTTCAGACAGGTTGGGCATCCTTGACCTAGAAATGTGAGACACTCCAAGATTTGGAACTTAGGACTCATGATGGAATATCACAAATGGACCTTTTCATATCTAATTTATGTGACAGATTATAATTAAAATGCTTTCACAGAAAAAAAGTAGTATATAAAATTGTCTTTTGTCTTTCTGTAAATGTATATGAGCCTACCCTATAACCTCTATTTCAAAAAACCAAAGAAATACAAAACAGTGCAGATCTCAAGCATTTTAGATAGTCCTGAGATGATCAGTTTGTATTATGAATTCTTAGATTGAGCCCTACAATGTAACACTCATGCCTTTACCATGTTGAATTGGCATTATATAGGAATTAACAGCCATATGGATGTAGAAACACTGGAATTAATATCTTGTCATATATATAGGGGTAATATAATATATTAACTAAAATCTTATCTATGGGGTTTCATTACAGAACTGAAATATTTAAATTAATGAAAAACAAGCAAAATCATTTCATGATGATTATTTTACCTTGTATATTTATTACTTTTTTTCCTAGAAAATCTATATTCCAAAAACTGTATGACTTGTATGTTGAAGAATGTGAAAAAGAACCTGAGGTTAAGGTAAATAAATATAAATTCTCTTTATTATTGGGCTTTGGAATTGTAGTAGAAGGGGGAAATGTAGAACATTATGTTTGAAGCAGCTAATTAGACTTGCTGAACTTCTTTATGTCTAAGTAGATTATAAGTTGTTGAACACTTTTGGCCTTACTGCTGTGCAGGAAAAGAGGTTCCCAGCTCTTCATATCTGTAGTAAGTGTTTTTGTTATAGAGGTTTCATTTCTTTCCCTCCTCTTATTCTTTCTTTCTTCTGTTTGTTTCTGTCTTTGAGATGGCGCCTCACTGTGTAGCTCTGGCTAGCCTTCAAGTGTGGTGATGATTTTTTTGCCTTAGCTTGCCATGTGCTGGGCTTGGAGACATTAGCTGCCATGCCTCTTTTTGTTGTTTGTTTAGAACAGTGTTTCTCAGCCTTCCTGATGGCTAATATTCCCTCATGTTGTGGTGATCCCCAACTGTAAATTTTTTTCTTTTTTAAAAAATTTTTTTAACTTTATTTATTTATATTTATTTAGTATACAGTGTTCTGTCTACATGTGTGCGTACAGGCCAGAATCAAACTATGGATGGTTGTGAGCCATCATGTGGTTTCTGGGAATTGAACTCAAGACCTCTGGAAGAGCAGTCAGTGCTCTTAACTGCTGAGCCATCTCTCCAGCCCCTAAATTTTTTTTTACTGCTACTTCATACTGTAATTTTGCTACTCTTAGGAAACGTAATGTAAATATCTGTGTTTTCCAATGGTCTTAGGTGACAACTCCCCCAAAAAGGGACAGTCTGTCTATCCTCCCCCCCTCAAAAGGTTGTGACTCACAGGTTGAGAATCACTAGTTTAAAAGGTGGTATTGCAGTGTAACATGGTCCAGGCTGTCCTGGAACTCAAGTCTTTTTGCCTTGGCCTCTTCTAAATGCTGATACTACAGGTGCACATCCATGCATAGCCAGTTTATGATGTGAGTTAATTTGCATAAAGCCTGCTAGTGGATAAATATTTAGTTGACATTACTGTCCTGTGAATTGTACCGGTTCCCCAGTGTTTGGGATTGCCGTATGGAAGGAACACCAATAGTAAGTGAATTGTTTTTCAAGGTTATACTGTTTAATGAACTTTGTTTCTTTTTAAAGCAGAAATTAAGACGAAATGTGAACTTGTTAGAGAAGCTTGTTATGCAAGAAACTTTGTCATGTTTAGTGGTCAATCTGTATCCAGGAAATGAAGGGTATTCTTTGATGCTCAGGGGGAAAAATGGATCAGGTAAGGCCTTCCAAAGTATACTTCACATAAAATATCTCTGCTTTTAAGGGTAGTTCTTTAACCTTTAATCAGAGATTGTCCTGACTAAAAGACAAATTCTTACCCTCTGTTTTTTCTTCTCTTGACTTTTGCCAGAATGTTTAGCATTATAATGTGTAGATTATCCTTCCTGAACTCACATTTGAAAAGTATTATAATTTATAGTATATCTTTAGATTTTTAAATTTATTTTGTTTTATGTGTATGAATGTTTTGCCTTCACCTGTATGTGTTGCATGCCTGGTACCTTCAAAGGCAGAAGAAAGGGTTGGATTCCATGAATAAGTTAAAAATGATTTTGAGTCACCATGTGGGTGCTGGGAATTGAAACAGGTCCTGTAGAAAGTAAGTCTGAGATCTTCACTGCTGAGCTATCTCTCCAGGCCCTATCTCTTCTTTTATATTTTATTTTATTTAGTGGGGAGATGGAGATAGGATCATGGCACCTTTATAGTCCCAGGATGACTCAAGGAAGTCAGTTCTCTTCTAGCGTATGAGTCTCAGGGATAGAACTCAGGTTTTCAGTCTTGTCTCCAAATGCCTTTATCCACTGAGTTATTTTGCCAGCCTGATTATTTCTTTATAGTTAATTGAACAGGTGATTTTTAACAATGACTTTTTTATTGCTATTTATATTTTAAGGTAACATAAGGTACTTTGACTGCACTTTATAGTGACTATAAAAGCTGGGAAGTTAAGCATTTATTTCCTGTTGAATAATTTTATTGAGATGTCAAAAATAGTAAACATTAAAAATAATTTTAACAAGATTTCTAATACTGTGGATGTGAAGAGCATTAAAACATAAGTAAGTATACTTAGATTTCATTTAAAGAGACATCTCTGAATTTAACAATATGATCGCTACAAGGAACTTAGCTAGTGAAGCATTTTATTTATGGCGATAAGAATATAGTTTAACTGGTGGAATACTTGCCCAGCGTGCACAGAGCTTGGAGTTTAGTTCATAGCATCACATAGATGTGATGTCAAAGTCCTATATCCTAGCATTCAGTGTGTAGAGGCAGGAGGATCAGAAGTGCTTATTTTCCTGTTCTTGTTTAAAATCTTTTGTAGTAAACAATTTTCCAGCAGTGTGGTATAATTGATTTATAAGACTTAGCCTCTGAGCTGTATTTTAAGATTTTATTAATTTTAATTATGTGTATGTGTATATTTGGCGGGGGTGGGGCCGGAGTATGTACATATGAATGCCAGTGCCCACAGAGCTGACAGTTCCAGTCAGCTATAAGCTGCCATGTGGGATCTAGGTACAGAACCCAAGTCCTCTGCGAGAGTGGCAAGTGCTCTTAACCACTGACATCTATCACGCTCTATGTATTTTATTTTTAAAAGTCATTTAAATTATAATTCTAACTTTTATGAACCTGTTTTTATAACTTTTGTTTTAAAATTAAGATTCTGAGACCATTCGATTGCCTTATGAAGAAGGAGAATTGCTTGAATACTTAGATGCAGAAGAATTACCTCCTATTTTGGTTGATCTCCTTGAAAAATCACAGGTAAAAAAGAACAAACAAAATATCTGTTTGAATAAAATATCATGTATATAGTAACATGTGACATACCAGCTGCTTAGAAGGCTGAAACAGGAACATCTCAAGGAAGTCTGAGGCAGGCCTGGGCAACACAGTAAAACGCCATTTCTAAAACATATGTGTTTGCATGTGTGTGTGTATTTCATATGCACCTACACACACACACAGACACACACACACATTAAATGTCTTATTCCCCCTTCTTTTTGACACTGGGTAGTGAACTCAAGGCCATATATGTTAGGCTACCAATCTACAGCTAAACTACACTCAACCCCCAGAAAAATGTTTTGTATTGTGTGTGTGTGTTACATTTTAGTATGTACATATCCTTTGTGTTGTGGTTTTGTTGTTTTCTTTCTTTTTTTTAAGATGTGAGCTCATTTGTATCCTGTCTGGCTAGTTAGAACTGGTGAATAGTTGAATTCCTTGTCTCAGCCCTTGAGTGCTACAATTGTAGACATGAGCTGCTGTACACACAAGTATTATCAGTAGTGTTGAGAGCATAAAAGGAGACATTGCACAGTGCTCGTTAAAAATGGTTTATTGTGGCGTACTTGGTTGCTGCACTGCCATGTGCTGATTGATTGCTTCTAAAATTGCTGTAGTTATCCTGGAAATTTCCCAAAGTTAAAATTAAGAAAATAAGAAAAGAATAATTTCCACTGTTTATGAAGCTTACTTAGAAACAGTGACCTACAAGTGACTCGCTTGCTCTTCCTGCTGCCTTGACCTGACTCCCATCCCTTCATGAGTTAGTGGAGCCACTTGACCAGTGTTCCTGCGTCTTTCTCCATACTTTTTCTTTTCTTAGGAATGAATCCAATTCCTAAGGCCTGATTCCCATTTCTCTTCTAGATCTTTCCCTTTTCAGTGGCTTACAACCACTAAATGCACAATACAAATATGCTGTATTCACAACTTTAAAACCTTCTGATCTCACTGTGTTTTCAGCCATCGATTAGGAGTTTTCCTTATCACTACAAAAGCACTGGAAAACTTGTCTGCAATCTCTTTATCACACTTTCTCCACTCACATATCTAGCATTGTAACAAGCATTTCTTAGATGATTTTGTAAAGTCACTGATCTCATGGCATGGCATTGCTAGTCACTTTTCTGTTTGAATCGGAATTGTCCTATGAAAATGTCAGTATAGCCAGGCATAATGGCACATGCCTTTCATCCCTTCATTGGTCAGAGTCAGAAGTTCAAGACCATCTTCAGCTTCATGTTGATTTGATAGTTAAATAAATTGGAAAATGATTACAGAGAGAGCAGTAAGTATTGTTGTTGGGTAATATTTACTGAATAGATAGAAGATACTGCCAACAGCCAGGTGTTTAACTGAATTGATTCAAAGAAGGTTGCTTTATTTAATCCTAATTAGAGATACAGCTAGATGTTGTCCTTTGATAACAAATCGTGTGCTATATACAGCTGTAAGGATGGTAGTGATAAGTGTAGTTAGGAAGGTATTGCTATAAGTTGTTAATAACAAAGTGATAAAAAAATACAGCTTTGATCAAATGTAATATTTTAAATATTTATTGTTAAAACTGTGATTAATAGATAAGTATTAATTAATAAGTATTGCTTTAAAGAAAGCATGCACATAAGGAAGGAAGCTAAGTCGGGTTCATAATTCCTAGACTAGCTATTAGTATTAGCCTGGTTGACCTAAGATAAAGACTATTCGGATTTTGATTATAGATATATCAGTTGTATTTATCAGTTTGTATTTGATCACAGATAGCTGTAATGGTATAAAGTGCCCGGACATACTATGAGAGAGTAGGCAAGTCATAGTGAACTGAGTGTTTAGGTTTCTTAAACTTGTAATACAACATAGATGTGAGTTAAATTCATGGTTATTTCCTGCTTATTAATACAGTCTAAAAAGTCTAGAAAATTTAGGAAGGGAAATATGGAAGTTATATCCAGAAGCTGAAATTCTGGCACAGTTGTTTGACAGTGTATTGCAGTGACAAACTATATAACCATTACAGTGTGAAATGAGTCAACGAGCTTCAGAAGAACCTCATTCTTTTATATATATATATATATTATTGATTTTTATTGAGCTCTACATTTTTCTCTGCTCCCCTCCTACTTCTCCCCTCCCGCCTTCAATTCCCCTCCCAAGGTCCCCATGCTCACAATTTATTCAGGAGATCTTGTCTTTTTCTACTTTCTGCTTCCGATGTAGATTAGATCTATATAAGTCTCTCTTAGTATCCGCATTACTGTCTAAGTTCTCTGGGATTGTGGTTTGTAGGCTGGCTTTCTTTGCTTTATAAGAGAGTACATGTAATAATTGTCTTTTCGTCTTGTGTCTGGGTTACCTCACTCAAAATAATGTTTTCTAGCTCCATCCATTTTCCTGCAAAAATCAATATGTCATTATTTTTTTCTGCTGTGTAGTACTCCATTTTGAAAATGAACCACATTTTTCTTATCCATTCTTTGGTCGAGGGGCATTTAGGTTGTTTCTAGGTTCTGGCTGTGACAAACAAAGCTGCTATGAACATAGATGCGCACATGTCCTTGTGGCACGATTGAGCATCCTTTGGATATACACCCAAAAGTAGTATTACTGGGTCTTGAGGAAGGTTCTTTCCTAATTTTCTGAGAAATCGTTACACTGACATCCAAAGGAGTTGTACTAGCTTGCACTTGCACCAGCAATGCAGGAGTGTTCCCTTTACCCCACAACCTCTCCAGCATAAGTTGTTATCAGTGTTTTTGATCTTGGCCATTCTTTCAGGTGTAAGATGGAATCTCAGAGTTGTTTTGATTTGCATTTCTCTGATGACTAAGGATGTTGAACATCTCCTTAAGTGTCTTTCAGCCATTTAGATTCCTCTGAGAGTTCTCTGTTTAGGTCTATACTCCATTTTTTTTTATTGGATTATGTGTTCTTTTGGTGTCCAATTTCTTGAGTTCTTTTTATATTTTGGAGATCAGACCTCTGTCTGTGGGGTTAGTGACGATTTTGTCCCATTCTGTAGGCTGTCATTTTGTCTTGTTGACCATGTCCTTTGCTTTACAGAAGCTTTTCAGTTTCAGGGGGTCCCATTTATTAATTGTTTCTCTCAGTGTCTGCTGGTAGGGTTATATTTAGGAAGTGGTTCCCTGTGTCAGTGCATTCAAGTGTTCTTCCCACTTTTTCTTCTATAAGGTTCAGTGTGGCTGGCTTTATGTTGAGGTCTTTGATCCATTTGAACTTGAGTTTTGTGCATGGTGATAGATATGGGTCTATTTTCATTCTTCTACATGTTGATATTCAGTTATGCCAGCACCACTTGTTAAATATGCTTTCTTTTTTCCATTTGATTTTTTTTTAATTATTATGATTTATTTATCTTTTATTTTATGTGCATTGGTGTGAAAGTGTCAGATCCCCTGGAACTGGATTTTCAGACAGTTGTGAGCTGCCATGTGGGTGCTGGGAATTGAACCCAGGTCCTCTGGAAGAGCAGTCAGTGCTCTTAACCACTGAGCCATTTCTCCAGCCCCTCCATTTGATATTTTTTGCTTCTTTATCAAGTATCAGGTGTTTGAAGATGTGTGAATTGATATCCGGGTCTTCTATTTGGTTCCATTGGTCCTCCTGTCTGTTCTTATTGCCAATACCAGGCTGTTTTCTGTACTGTAGCTCTGTAGTAGAGTTTGAAGTCAGGGATTGTGATGCCTCCAGAAGTTCTTTTATTGTACAGAATTGTTTTGGCTATCCTGGGTTTTTTGCTTTTCCATATGAAGTTGAGTATCATTCTTTCAAGGTCTCTGAAGAATTTTGCTGGGCTTTTGATGGTCATTGCATTGAATCTGTAGATTGCTTTTAGTAGCATTGCCATTTTTACTATGATAATTCTTCCTATCCAAGAGCGTGGGAAATCTTTTCACTTTCTGGTGTCTTCTTCAATTTCTTTCTTCAAAGATTTAAAGTTCTTGTCATACAAGTCTTCCACTTGTTTGGAAGAACCTCATCCTTAAAGGAACTGCAGTAATGTCTGTCACAGGTGAATGCGAAAGCCATCCTGGATGTCAGTAGATGCAGTCAATCTACTAGTAACAGTTTTAAATTGCTTTCTATAGTGATGCACATAAAAATAAATGATCCTCTTTAGTAGTTTATATAGTGGTGTATCCACTAAGGTATCTATTGAAGGTATAGAATTTTAAGATTGAAACATTAAGTATAATTTTGCTTATTTTGACTTTTGGAAAATGACATTTACCCAATTTTTTTTTTAACTTAAAACAGGTTAATATTTTTCATTGTGGATGTGTGATAGCAGAAATACGTGACTATAGGCAGTCCAGTAATATGAAGTCTCCTGGTTACCAGAGCAGGCACATTCTCTTACGTCCAACAATGCAGGTATGGAATGTTTACTTAGGAAGTACTGGGTGTTGTTTTAGTTGGATTTTTGTTTAATGTCCATATATTTGTATGAACATACATAATTTTAAAATGTTTTGTTTCTTCCAGACTTTAGTTTGTGATGTTCATTCTATAACAAGTGACAACCATAAATGGACCCAGGTTAGTTTTCTGTCTAATCCCAGGTAGGCCCCCCACAGTGTGAAGCATCCATGAGAGCTTCCTTTTACTCACATTTGATTGGTTTGTTGGGTTGAACATTTGGACAAAACCAAGATTCCCTTAGGAGCTTTAGGATTTTAAAGTCTCTGTACATTTGGAAATCTCTCAAGGAACTTTATAGTGCAGTCCCAAATTGCTTCCATCCTTGCTGATAAACTACACTTAAGTTAATTTATGAAGCCTAATGTGAAATTTGTTTTGTTTTGTTTTGATTTTGCTTTATTTTATTTTATTGTTATTAACAATTCTGGCTGTCCTTAAACTCGCTCTATAGGCCAGGCTTGAGCTCAGACTCACAGAGATCCTCCTGCCTCTGCCTCCTAAGTGCTGGGTTTAAAGGTGTGTGGCACCATCGTCCGGCTCTTCCTATCAAACAAAAACTTTATTCTTACCATTGAATACAGATAGATTGTGATTTTTCTTTCATTCAGGATTCTAAAATTCTACAAGAAGCCTATCTTTTCTCCCTCCCTCCCTTCTTTCCTTTCTCCCTTTCTTTCTTTTCTTTTTCTTTTTGAGGTAAGATATCTAGCCCAGGCTGGCTTGGAACTTGAGATTTTGCTGCCTCAGCTTCCTGAATTCTGAGAGTAAAGATCTATATCACCATACCTGGTAAAAGGATTTCTTAGCAATGACAACAGCTAATTGATCCTCCAGTTCTGTCTCTTGTTTATCTATTACTGTGAAGAGAAAAATGTCAGCAATGAAATAGCCCTCTATGAAATGTGGTTATAAAGTATGATGAGCTTTACTCTGGGCTGTGATTTTTCCCATCTATAAGAATGTGGAAGGTTCTTCACATCAAAGACAGAATTGCAGTCAGTGTGGGAGAGCAGTAAAGCATCCGTTTCTTAAGCTGAGGACTGGTAAACTTACTGTGTCCCCAACAAACTGTATTTTAGGCAGCCAAATAAATATTCAACTCTTTTGAATTTGACTATTTTATACAGTATACAAATAACTGAATTTTCATTAGAAGTTTGTTTATCTTGGCAGGTTTACACATTAATGTGCAAATGAGTTACTACAGTTACTTTGATCTTTAGCAAACTTCCCAGGAATATTTCTGGGTTAAATGATGTATATTTGAAGCTGACATATACTCCTGTGTATTTCAGGAAGACAAACTTTTGCTTGAGAGCCAACTGATTCTAGCTACAGCAGAACCACTGTGTCTTGACCCGTCTGTGGCAGTAGCTTGTACCGCAAATAGGCTGCTCTATAACCGGCAAAAAATGAACACTCGCCCAATGAAACGGTAATTGCCTGCACTTAAGTGACACAAACTCCTAAATGTTGCTAACCACAGTACCCTTTCCATCAGCATGGCACTGCTGCACTTTTAAATTTGAAAATGGGATTTTTAATGGCCTTGTATTATGCTTTTGTGTGGTAGAATTTTTTTAAAAAAAATATTTCCTGCATTATTGTAAAGTAGTATTGTCTGCAGTCTTTCAACAAAGGAATTTCTGTAAATTATGGTCTGTTCACAAAGCTTGTGAGGCTGAAAAAAGACCAGTAGGAGCAGGACAGTGGCTTCATTGGAAACAGTTAGCAAGGAAACAGAATGTAACTTGCAAGTTTCAAGAAAATACAATCGCAGTTTTAGAGAGTTTTTTGTTGTTGTTTTGTTTTTCTGAGACAGAGTTTCTCTGTAGCTTTGGAGGCTGTCCTGGAACTAGCTCTTCTATACCAGGCTGGCCTTGAACTCACATAGGTCCACCTGCCTCTGCCTCCCAAGTATTGGGATTAAAGGCTTGTGCCACCACCACTACTGCCTGGCTTAGAGATTAGTTTATAATGACTGCTTCTCCATTTTTGGGATTCTAATCAGCTTGGCTACATGGTCAGGAGAATTTTGTCTTGTTCTTTTTTGTTTCTTCTGTACCTACAGCTTGCTGGTGTGAGAGTGTTATATAGATGTTTGTGATTTAATCTATAATTAATTCACGCTGCTGCTTTCCCATATAGATTATGAGTTGTTGCTTTGTGTGTTCTAATTTGTGTTAGGTGTTTAAAGAGGTATTCCAGGTCTTCCCTGAACCGGCAGCAGGACCTGTCTCATTGTCCTACTCCTCCTCAGCTGAGATTACTTGATTTCTTACAAAAGCGGAAGGAAAGGAAAGCAGGTCAGCATTATGACCTCAAGATCTCTAAAGCAGGAAATGTAAGTAGTTCTTCAGGAGCTCAGTGTTCTGACAGACTAGCTTTGTTTTAGGTATTTTGGTGTAATTATACTGCTTTAAACTTTCAGTGTGTGGACATGTGGAAACGGAGCCCCTGTAACCTGGCTGTGCCTTCTGAAGTAGACGTGAGTGCTGCCCTCTAGCACAGGGCCAAAGTTCATTAGGTAGCTAATGCTGTGCGAAAATAAACCAGAAAACTTGCTTTTGAAAGTCTCATTTTAAGAAGCTGTGTGTTTACATCATCCATGTAAGTTTGATGTGTTTTTGAATCTGGGTCTTGCTGTGTAGCCAAGCTGTCCTCAAATGTGGGATGATCCTCCTCTTAGTCAGTTTCACAGCTCCAGACATTCTGAGTGGGGGCCACCAATACAGCCTCATTTTCATAAGGACATTTAGAGTTCTGTGTTAGGAGCAGGAATAATGATAAGGTTTCAAAAGAGTGGCATATTTTATATAATGCAATGCTCAGAAAATGGTCTAGTGTCTTTCTGTAGTGTTTCTTCATAATTAACTCATAATGCTTATGTACTTAAACTGATAACATTTAAAGATTAGTAATATTAGAGCTATGGCTGAAATTAGGAGCTCCCAGCGCTATTCTTTACTAATAATCTTGAAGACACACAAATTCTAAGTGACTAGGGGTGTTAATGAAGGACAGCATTTTATTTCATTTCCTGTGTCTTCTAGAGTTTATTTTTATTATTTACTCAGCTATCTTTTATATATGTACTTTGTGTATGTGTGTGTGCATGTGCATACCATAACCTGTGTGGAAGATCAAAGTTTATTCTTTGCTTCTACCACAATGCTTCTAGGCATCAAATCGGGTCTTCAGTTTCAGTAGCAAGCACCTTTATCTACTAAGCCATCTCACCAGCCCTTACTCAATTTATTATGATTCATATTTGAAAGTTATTTATTTCAATAATACTTTTTGTATTATTGTTATAATAATCGAAACACAAGGCCAAAGCATTAACAGACCATGTCTACAAACCAACAAAGAAAGCCATACTGTCGTCTTGTGTCACATGTGGCCCTCAGGCAGGTAGTGCTCTTAACTGCTTAATCATCTGTAGCTCCACATACTAGACCTTTAATTAAACACATCATTAAATACAAGTGTTCAGTGATACTGGTAGTTAAAACCCTTATGCTCACTCTGTTCTTATTGAATTTTGCAGGTTCTTCTCTTTGTTCAGGTACTGATTCCATTTTTTTCCATGTCTTTATCATTTAGGTGGAGAAATATGCTAAAGTGGAAAAATCCATCAAATCTGATGACTCTCAACCAACAGTCTGGCCGGCCCATGTAAGTAATTAGGCTAGTTTTCTTCATTAACAATGCAGTTTGCTTGCTTGTTTTCTTTTTTTGTTTTGTTTTGTTTTGAAACAGTGTCTCCTGTAGCACAGATTAGCCTCTAGTTTGCAGTGTAGGCATGACTGACCTCAAACATACTGATCCTCTTGCTTTTATTGCCCAAGTGTCAGGTGTGTTCCCACCATATTTCGCTAACAATATTGTTTATAAACTGGTTTCTGAATTTATTAAACAGAAAATTACTTGTATAACTTTTTAAAACTACATTTAGAGCTCTTGTGGACTTCAAGAAAGATATTTTTTAAAGTGTGTTTTTCATTTTACAGAGCAATTTTAATGTAACAATAAATTTTATGAGTGGGGTGTGATAGCCCATGCCTGTGGTCGCTGCTCTTGGAGGTCAGCCTGGAGTACAAACCGAAATAAGTGTCAAGCCTAGTGGTACATAACTGGAAGTCCAGAATAGGGAAGCTCCTATTGGAAACGGACATATTTGAGATCATCCTGGGATACCTAGTGAGACTGTCTTACAGAAAACAAAATTGCATTTTTGTTTTTGATGCATGTTGGTGGTTTTCACTTTTGTTTCAAACTAGTGTGTTCTGTTAAAGATGTCTTTGTTTGAGACATGGTTCTCTGTGTGACCAGGCTTGCCTGGAATTTTGGTATATTCATCAGCTGGTCTCACACTTGTTGCCATTTTGCTGCCTTTGCCTCCTCTTAGTGCTGGGATTAAAGGTGTGCACCACCACTGCCAGGCTTCGTTGTAGTTATTTCTTAAAGGGAGACATTGGAATAATGGGTGCAAAATAATATGGTTTTATGGGCACTGGATGTTTTATTTGAATGGCCAATGACAAAAACATTGCCACCTTCAGACTTTATTTTCAGATTGTTAAAATTACAGTTGTATGTGCAGTCTATGAAGCTCTATGCATGTCTGTCAGGCTTGATGAGATGCAGCATTGGGACACTTAGCATAAAGACCTGTGTGAAGAAAGGGTCCTATACAGTAATTCTCTATGAGGATTTGGGCTGTGAAATTCCTTTTCATTCATCCATTTGTTTGTTTGTTGATTATTTATGAGATAGGGTCTTATTTTATAGTTCTTGGTGGCCTGGAGCTCACTGGGTAGACCAGGCTGGTTTTGAACTCAAAGACATCCACCTGCCTCTGTTTCCCAAGTGCTGGAGTTAAAAGACATGTGCCACTATACCCGACCAATTCTTTTACCTATGATGTGGAAATGGCCATGCCAGCCGTGAGTTGGTGGTGTTTGACAGTTGAATGGGATATCACTTGTTAAGTGCTGTGGCAATATTCAGTTAATGTTTGCTGTGATTTTCATTATGCTTGTAGAAATGTTTAGTAATTTCCTAGTGAATGACTCAATAGCATGTGTAATCATCATGAACTTGATGTTTTTATACTACCTTAAATATTTCTTTAGTGCCATGTATATACCAGACATAATTAGTTTTACTTATTTATTTATTTACTTATTTATTTTCTTGCCACTTGAGAAGATACTATTTGGGTTTCTCTGTCCTTTTCAGGATGTAAAAGATGATTATGTATTTGAATGTGAAGGTGGTACTCAGTATCAGAAAACAAAACTGACCATCTTGCAGTCTCTTGGTGATCCACTCTACTATGGTAAAATACAGCCATGGAAAGCAGATGAAGAAAATGACAGTCAGATGTCTCCATCCCAGTGAGTCCTGTTGAGTATCTGTAACACAGAGAGACATCCAGAACTTATTTAGAACTACCAGGGAACTGCCAACTAGTAAATACCATTTTCCTTTAGGGGTTTGGTATTTAATCTGTATAACAGTACATTTTGACAGTGGATGTGAATAAGTGAAAATGCAGTTGCTATGATCTCTAAGTTATTCATAATCATTTTTTTTAAAAGTGTAGCTAGTTGTTTTTGTGGTAGCTCTGAAGGACATTAGAATTTTGTTGTTGGCAGTTTATGTAGTTGATTTTCTTAATGGTACATCATAAGTACAGGATACTAATACTTAGTTTTGATTTTGGGGTTGGGAGTGTGAGCAGGGCCTGTGTATCCCTGGCTGGATCGGAGCATGCTCTGGAGACTAGGCTGCCTCTGCGTCTGTTTCTTGAGGACAGGGTAATTTGGATTGTATGGTTACTTTTATTATTAGTTAGGTTTTTTTTTTTTTAAAATCACATTCATACTGTTTTAAAAAATGGAAAAGAGTTCAGGAAAATGAAAAATTGTTAAGGTCAGTTGTATGTCAAATTATTGTTTAAACTTTTACCAAAATTGATTTGAAATTTGGGATGAATGATGGGTTTTAGCATTATTTCACCCATACCTAGGTAAAAATCTGCAAGAAGAAAAGCAGGAATTCCTCAATTAACAACTAGTAGCCATTTTGATTATGCATACTTCTGAGATTCTACCACTAAGACACATCCAACATTGTAAATGTGCCAGCATGTCAATAGTGTGATGACACAGTTGCTACTCCTTTGTGAAAATTCAGTTTCCATCCTGGGAACTGCTTCCAGGAGACAACTGCTCTCTCTGCCGTTACTCTGGAGGCTCTGTGCTCTTCCACATCCTTCCATGTTCAGAACCTAAGAGCTGGGAAACTTAAGTTTGGCTTGCCCTAACTGAGTGCTTTTCTTTTATGTTTTATGTTACAGCTCCTCTGCAGATGATCATTCAAATTGGTAATTAAAAAATAAGACTCACTTCTTTTTATATGTTGTTATAATGTCAAAATTAAAAAAAAAAAAAGCTTAGACAAGGTTTTTGTTTGAGTTGAGAATAAGCTTTCGTCCTTGTCTAAAATAATTGTACGAATGACTTCTAGAGTCAAATTAAATGAATAAAAAGCCACAGGCCTTTCTGTAGTAGTACAGTGTTTGTAAATGTGTATAGTGGTACTTGGTAATTTTATTCCAGATTGTATAATAATAAACAAACATTAAATTTCTCATAAAGCAAATCAGCCAAATTGATTATTTTAGGATGAATGTAAAACTTGAGCATTATTTCTCAAGTTTAATTAATTTTTTAATGAAATGATACATTGTTATATATTAAAGACATTATAAAGGTTAACCTAAGATGTTTTAAGACATTCTTACTAATACATCTTTTTCTTGGTGACCTTTTAGGTTCATCATTGGGTCCAAGACTGATGCAGAGAGGTAAAGTGCATTTGCCCCTTTAATTGGTCAGACTGGATGTGACTACATCTTTGTGGGCCAAGTGTTCTGTGTCTGAGTCACAGATGTTGATTCTGTTACTCATGTCACTGCACATCACTTCATTACTCTTAGGTCGTGGGTTAAATCACTTAATATTAAAATCTCATAGGCCATTTTCATGGTATTTTAATACCCTGGATATTTTTTCATCGAATTAAGAAAATAAAGACCATGTTTAAAGTACAGTTTGTTTTAGGTAAGAAAATTTAGACATCTGAGAAAGACGATTTTAAGGGGGAAGTTTATAATCTAAGTCAAAGGGAAGGGAATGAAAAATTTTATTTTCTGTTCATTGGTTTATTTATATTGTAATCAAGGATGATATTAAACTTATAATTACCTTTATAATTTCTATATTTGAAGTAAGATCTTAAAAGGTGCCTTTATATGCCTTTATCTTGATTAGCAGAAAAGATTTAAACATTACTTTGTTGTTGGAAAGATTAGAATACGCTTCTCTTCATTCCATTTATTTAGTGTGTGAGCTTGTGTTGTCAGTGTGCAGTTGGCCAGTGTGCAGGAGCTGGTTCTCCTTCCGCCGTGTAGGTTCAGGGGAGTAAACACAGGTTGTGAGGCTTGGTGGCAAGCACCTTTATCCGGCTCCATAGCCCAGAATACACTTTTTAAGATGGGAATTCCTCATGTAGCTCAGTCTGGCCTTGAACTCTTGACAAGACTAGTTGCCTTTCTCCTGTGAAACAGTAGGTCTTTGGTACATACTGATGAGAATTTACTTTTAGGTCCCAGGTTTGTCTCAGCACTTGTGGTTGGGCAGTTAGGGAACACTTGTAACTCAATGGTGGAGTGCCTCATTTTGATTTTTCTATTTTCCAGTAATAGCATTACTTATTTCCTGTATGATTTGTCTTTAAGACAAATTTTGTTAATTCTTACCTATTTTTTCCTACTATTTCAGGGTAGTCAATCAGTACCAGGAGTTGGTCCAGAATGAAGCCAAATGCCCAGTGAAGATGTCACATAGCTCTAGTGGTTCAGCCAATCTCAGTCCAGGAGAGGAGACAGAGGTACGTTCGCGCCATTGGTGCCTTGTACCTTGTTGTTTCTCAAGGAGCCTGAGAAATGTGAAGGGCAAGGGAGTTGCTTTTACTTTTAACTTTTTAATAATTCAGCTTTATGGTTGAAAGCTTCAAAAGTACTCAGTGATAGGTACAAGTTGTTATTCCTGTTAAAGGAAGGTAGACAGGGGTGACAGGTTTTCTTTCACTTTTGCTTTTCCCTGGGTCTCATATCACATCATCATGTATGTTACAGTTTGTGGATGTCATGGGAAACTGAGACAGTTCTCATACTGAGTACTTTGCAGTTGTAACTTGTTTTCATGTGGGAAATATAATGATACTAGCTTTAATATTAACAGTTGTGTTTAATGTCACTCCTCAGCAGCCCGAGACTGTGTCTGTTCAGTCTTCAGTTTTGGGGAAGGGAGTAAAACATCGACCCCCACCCATCAAACTTCCCTCAAGCTCAGGAAATAGTTCCTCAGGTATTATCCTCAACTATATTACCTAATAGTCATCTCTTTCCTAAAATGTTACTTATTTTACTCTGATAATTCACAGAATTTTTGAATTATGAATATAGGAAAAGACTTAATTTTATTTGTGTGTGTGTGTGTGTGTGTGTATACCTTTGCTTCTGGAGGTAGCTGGCTTGGGTGTGTGGTGGGGTCTGAACTTTGATCTTTAAGATTGCTTAGCAAGTGCTCTGAGCCATCTTTCCAGCCCTAGGAAATAACTTATGTTCTTCCAGGTAACTATTTTACAGCACAACAGGCCAGCAGCTTCCTTAAATCTCCAACTCCTCCTCCATCATCTAAGCCAAGTCTCTCTCGAAAATCATCTGTGGAGCTCAGTCAAGTCAGCATGCTTTCTCCTGCCACCCTGTCACCTGCCAGTTCTTCACAGAGTGAGTCATGATTTAAACTCTTGCAAAAATTTTCATAAAGCTTTGCAGTGGTGTTTCTTGAAGGCAGCTTTTATTCAGTCTGTGAAGTGTACCCAAAATGTATATAAGTTGCATGAAACTCCAGGTAGAATTCTTGTTGGCTGTGTATATTACATGCTTAATGTAATTATATTTGCTTTTCTGTGTCTATGTATGCACTCAGTGTATACCTTTCTTTCAGGCTTGTTGCCTATAAGCTTGTTGTCTTCTTTAAAATATACTTGGCAGTAAGGTTGCAGAGTATTATTTTCAGTGCCCCCTAGTATCTTTTTCTTACTATATAAGAAACTGTGTCTGATACCAAAAAGAAAATATGAGAGTGAATTATTGGAGATACTACCTTTGTATGTGTAAGACACCAGCAGGTTCAAGGTTATATGCAGTAAACTGAAGAGTAGTATTTGAAAGCATGCACTTCCACACTTTTGCAAGCTGTCACTAAAACGTGATCATCTGAACATAGGAAAGTAGAACTCTCACTTTTGGATACCCTTTTTAACAACAAGTAGAGGCAATATAGGAGTGCTAGGTTTAATGTGGAAGAATTTCTTCAAATGACTATCTGGATATATTAGGTACTAATTTGCGGGGGGAAATTCCAGTTTTTTAGCTTTTTTGGTTTTGTTTTTGTTTTTTTTTCTTGGTTGCTAATGTGTGCTGTCAGTGTACTGCACAGTGCTAGGATGGTCCTAGATATTAACATCTGCATCCTGATAGCTCAAAAGGTGTAATTTTTCTGCCTTCTTGTTTTGCACAAAGAAAAATAAATACATCTTCTGAAAGTCTTATTCATACTTCTCATGTTGTGGGTGTGGATTGTGGTGATCTGCTGCACACAGTTGTGTTAAGTCAGGGTGGGGTGACAGCTTCTGGACATTCACATCTCTCTCCTTTCTTTCTGCAGGACATGAAAGCTAAAAAGGAAACACCTCAAGAGCTTTTGCTTTACTTTTTTGGTTTCATTTTTTGTTTTTATTTTTTTAAAGTTGATAAACTGTGCATACTTCATTCACAACAGATTTTTCTATACATTCTACATTTAAACAGAAGTACACAGTTACTGTTAAAGATGCAGTATTATCTACACAGTACTTGCTTTACTCTTTGTAAATTTGTCAGGGTAAACTTGGTATGTTGGGAAGTAAACATGTATATCTTGGTGCCAAATATAGCTGATAACCTTGTGTAGCTTACTAAAAATGTCCAGTTTATCTCAGTTAAACTAAGTAAGCAGTATTAAGGAAGTCTTGAACTATTGAAATCATAAATAACAAAAATTAACTTTTCAACCTTGTAGACAAAAGACGGCATGTAGGAGACTAACTTTTCAGTGGGTGTTGTGGTAGAGTGTAAGTGTACTTCCACTGTTTCTGTGATAGCATCTGGAGTGGGATTTTAGGTGATATACTGCATCCTTAATTGTAATTGAGTGTAACAACACTCATGGATCTTGTAGAGAGTTAACACTTTTAAAAAGAGTTCACTGCTTTTAAAAAAATTGGAACAAATTTATCAGTGCTAAGTAAAATTCCATTAACCTTATTTTAAAAAGGACCGGCCATTTATAACAAACTAGCAATTTTTATTTTTCTCAATGAGCAGGATCTGGAACTCCTAAGCCATCTACTCCTACACCAACCCCTTCATCGGCCCCACACCCTCCTGATGCTCAGAACTCAACTCCTAGTACCCCTTCAGCCACCCCATCTCCCCAAGATTCAGGCTTCACCCCTCAGCCCACTTTGTTCACTCAGTTTGCTCAGCAGCAAAGGGCTCTGAGCCAGGCAATGCCTGTGACAACCATTCCTCTTTCCACCATGGTAACATCTATAACAACAGGAAGCACGGTCTCCCCGATCATGGCCGACTCTGCTGGGCTTAACTCCGTCAGTGTAGTGAGCTCTGCTGGGTAAGTTGACAATGTTAAAGACTGTTTTATTTGTGAGATTAAGAACAAATTTTACATTACACTGAAAGGTGGTATTCTGATATAGTTAGGAGCTGCTTCATGTGAATGGTATAATTTAATAACTGTTACCTATACACAGGTGTATTTCACAGTTGCCCAGATTTTGTCATTTGACTGTTGTTATTGTCTTTGAATCACTAGGGCAGGACTTTTACTTCTCCTCACTCTGAAATGTCTAAGGATGTGCTCATTATGTAAGCTAGGCTTGTCACACTTTAGCACTAAAATGAAACTTAGCCTAGAAATTGAATTTTTTGAAAAAAAAATTTATTATATTTCTTGGGGGTGTATATGCCACAGTGCACATGTAGAGGTCAGAGGATGACTTGCAGGTTTTGGTTGGTTTTCTACCACCATCTTCATCTTCAGACTCGGCAGATGCCTGCTGAGAGCCATGTCACCTGCCCTAGGAATTAATTTTTTTTTATTGTTTTGGTTTTTTGAGGCAGGGTTTTTTGTGTAATAGTCTTAGGTGTCCCGGTAGTAGCTCTGTAGAACTCACAGAGATCCACCTGCCTCTGGGATTAAAGGCGAGCGCCACCAGTGCCTGGTGAAGTTAATTTTTAAGACAGAATTTGTTTTATAGTTTTTTAATCTGAAGAACTGTGAGACTGTATTTGTGTTTCTAGTGTGTAATGCTCTGCTCCTTACCCTGCAGTGGAGCCCAGGCTCTGAAGAGTGCCTCAAACTCCATGCTGGGCTGTGACACTGGCACCATAACTCCTGCAGGAAAAAGCCTGGGCAGCGACCTTCTTCCCTCAGGATGTCTCTTAAGTAATGCATTGCCCAGCGCATTGCCCACAACTTCTCAGACAGGTTAGAATAAGTGCATGTGAAAGTTTATTGTGTATGTGTGTGTTTATTTGTATTTAGTGATTTTTTTTTTAAAGATAGGGTGTTATTGGTGTTTTTACTCTTTGGTCTTTAGGAGGCCCGCCACTTAACTCCCAAATAAATACACACAAAGTCTTATTCTTACTTACAAATGCTCAGCCTTAGCTTGGCTTATTTCTTTTATTAAATTATCCTTTCTATCTCTTGTTTCTGGGCTTTTAGCTTTCTCTATTTCTGTATACCTTTCTTTACTTTCTACTCCATGGCTTGCTGTGTAGCAGATGTCCTCCTCCTTTGCCTCTCTGCCCTCTCCTCCTAGATTTTCTCCTATTTATTCTTTCTGCTGACAGCCCTGCCTATCCTTTTTCCTGTCTTGCTATTAGCCATTCAACTAAAAATAATAAATAGACCAATCAGGTGTTGTAGACAGGCAAAGTAACACAGCTTCAGGGAGTTAAACAAATGTAACATGAAAGAATGCAACACATCTTTGCATCATTCAACAAATATTCCACAGCATGAACAAATGCAACACATTTTAAAATAATATTTCACAACAACAGGATCTCAAAAACTGACTTCCTGCTTGGTATGTGCTGATCTTCCTATTTTTACCTACCAGAGCTGGGATGACTGGTTTGTGTCTCTATACCCAGACTTAAAAGCTGTTATTTTAAGGACATACATTACTAAAAACATTTAGTTTTTTTATTTCATAGTTTTATTTCTCAGATACTTAAAAGGCCTTTTTTAGTTCTAATATACCTAGCAAACAGCTTCTGGGAAGAAACCTGGTAAATCTATGAGTTTGTACACATGTCTTCTGCTGTGCATAAATAATAATAATAATAAATAAGTAACCTTATTCTTGTCAGTAGTAATGACAATAAAAATATATATGTTCTACCGCTTTTGGCATGGTAGCTAAAAACCTAAATTCTTACTTGTATAATTTTTGGAAGTTGCTTTTTTATATTATTTTTCCCAGAAATAAAATAGTGATAGTAATAATAATTTTTCTCATAGGAGAATAAATACATGTCAAACATTATTTATATTGTACCTGTGCCATTAGGAACATTCTTGTTGCCATCCTTTATAGTAGTAGTAGGTCTTGGATAGTTATTACCTTGTGGCCCAAAGCAGTGGGAACAAGTGTGCTGGTTATGATGCCCTTTAATGAATGTGTATAATGCCTAGAACCAATTCCTTTTCTTACCAGTGTTGGGAGTAGATGGGCAGCTCAGAGATAAACCGACCAAAAGCTTTCTCGGCTATGGAAAAAATCTAGAAAGTATAACATGAATATGTTGTTATTTTCTAATTCTAGTTGTGCTTATTTTGATGAGAAGGAGCCATGGATATTAAAGTCACATCCAGAATTTTAGATATTTAGATTTATGTGTAAGTGGCTTCTAGGGTACTAGGTTTACATTGTTCCAGTGCTGTCCTTAGAGAAGCCATTTAATTCTTTCCCCAGACTCAGTATCATTTTCATTCTGACTTGACTTGTTCCTTAGGAGAAAGAGGAAGTCTACTAGTGCCTTTGATAAGCTGGAAAGCTGCATGCAGGAGTCATGTTCCTTTGTATGCAGTGCCACAGTGAGACACTAAGTGGATGCCAGGACAGCAGTGATAGCACAAGCCATTTCTCCTCAGGGACCGTTTTCTGAATGGGACATATCTGAGACTTCTTCAGGTTCTTGTACAAAGCTTTGATGACATCACGTATCAATTTTCTATATCTTTTCTATAAATAACATCTGATAGAGGACTACATATATTTTTGTTAATTTTTTAAGTGCTTCCCATGTCTTCCTCCCAAATGTTTGATTACAGGCACAAACCACTGTACCTAGAGTAGATAATTTTTAATCTGTATTTATTTTGATGTGAACAAAATTTGCGCTTATTTTTATGTTTTGTGGGGCACACCATTTGAGACTGGGTCTCACTATGTACCCGTGACTGTTTTGGAACTTACTATGTAGATCAGACTGGCCTTGAACTCACAGAGATCCTCCACCTCTTCCTCCTGAGTGCTTGGTTAAAATGTGTGCACCATCACACTAATTTGCACACACTTAGAGACCAGGGTCAACAGACTGTAGCTATACAGTCTGCCAAGAATGTTGTTTTATATCTGTATGTGTGAGCATCCTGTGGCTCAAATTCAGAATCAGGACAGCCTGCAGTCATCTGTTCTGTCCTTCACCATGTGAGTCCTGGGGTTGAACTCAGGTCATCAGGGCTTGGCGGCAAGTGCCACTACCCATGAGTTATCTTGCTAGTACTTTGTTTTGTCTTTCCTTAAATTTGGAATTAATAAGCCATTATATCATAACTTTGGTTTTTATCTTTACAAAAGTTAAGTGTTCTTTTAACATTTTGGTGATTGGTATTTGTTTTTTTGAGTTTGTTTTTTTTTTCTTTGTTTGTTTGTTTTGAGACAGGGTTCTGCTGTAGTTTTAGAGCTTGTCCTAGAACTAGCTCTTGTAGACCAGGCTGGCCTCAAACTCACAGAGATCCACCTACTTCTCCTTCCCAAGTGCTGGGATTAAAGGTGTGCGCCACCACCGCCCAGCGGTGATTGGTATTTGGAACGCAATTTAGTATTTATTGTATATCACTGAGGAATGTAAACAAGTGGCAGTTAAAATGTGTTTGCACAATGGCAGCAGTTTTGTTCCTTTCACGATGTGTAGGTAATTCTAGATGACTTACTTCAGCAGTATGAGAAGTGAAGAAGTCTGAAATGTAGAATATAGTTTCTATCTAGTACCCCGCAACTTTGAATAAAATGTCAATAGTGATAATACTAAAACAGTTCTTTTGTTGTAGAAGGGTTTTTAAATTATGTGTAAATTAATCATTTGGAGAAAGGACAGTGATGTATTTTCATATGTTGAAGTCTAAATTTTTATTTGTAATGCTTTCAGTTCTATTATAACCATTACTTTTATTTAACAGGTATCCCATTTGGTTTAAAAAATACTTCAAGTCTCAGGCCTTTAAATCTACTCCAGGTAAACATAAAAGAGTGCTTTTGACTTAAATTTTTATATTTTGTTTTTTTAAAACAGCGTATATTTATACATGTTAGCATATGAAAATTTGAGGTCTATCTGGAATATTCTAAGGGTATATGTATTGCTACCTTTATGTAGTTAAGTGCAAATAAAAATAATGGGTGTTCTATAGATGCAGCGTTCGTTGGCTTTAGTCCCTGTCTGATCAAGAGCTTGTTACCCCAGTGAGGTGGTCCTGGAAAAGCTCCAGTCTACAGTAGTGGCAGTATGAACACTTGCAGACATGCATGTGCTGTTAGCTCACCTTGAGTTTTTGTGCTTAGAGGTTTCAAAACTTTGGTATGCATTATTTCCCCCAAGGAAGATTATACTTTCTTTTTTTTTTTTAGATTTATTTATTTATTGTGTACACAGTGTTTAACCTCCATGTATGCCTGCAGGCCAGAATTGGGCATCAGATCTCATTACAGATGGTTGTGAGCCACCATGTGGGTTGCTGGGAATTGAACTCAGGACCTCTGGAAGAGCAGTCAGTGTTCTTAACCTCTGAGCCATCTCTCCAGCCCCGATTATACTTTCTTAATACAGTGGTAGATAACTACTAGTCGTTCTATAAATGTTTGTTGGGTCTAATATATACCGAATGATGTGGCCGCCTTACCTTTTTTCCATTACAATATCACTGTACTCTAAAGCGATAGAACATGGAGACTGAGTGCTCGGACCACCTGCTTCACATGGGCACGGCCTCAGGTTGAAGACCTAGCAGTGCATGAGAGAGGAGACGAGGACTAAAGACTAGAGCACTCTGAGTCCCATGCTAGCTCCTTTACTTCCTGGTCCCTCTGTGTGCTCCAAGTTCCTTATCCCATTACCCTCTCTTGTTCTACTTCCCCTTCTTGATGTATAATTCTTTTAGTTAGCATATAAAATAATGGCTTTCATTATAGTATGTCCTTTTCCTTACTTATATTCACTTATCTTCATTTCCTGCTCCTTCACACTGGTCTCCTTTTTTCCTCCACAGAGTGTCCCCTCTCCTTTCAGTGTGCATGTGACTGTTTAAAATGTAGACTCTACATACTATTAGATGCTTGATACTTCTTTTTGTGTTTTTCTGCTGTTACCCTCAACTTGCTTTACTCTTTTCCCCACGGTTCTTTAATAGTCACATATTAAACTAGTAATTTGGAAAATAGATAGTTGTCTATGGAGAACTTAAAGGTAGACTTGAAGATAAAGATCTGATGATAATACAGAACTGTGGATATTATTGAGAAATAGCAATACCGGACAAATCAGCCAACCTCATATATAACTGATAGGGAAGTCTGGATTGAACTAAAACTGTTTATGTGGTAGAAATACACTGTCAGTATGTGCAGGCCAGTGGCAGAGCTGTGCACTGGTGATGTGGGCACAGCTAGAGCATACTGCTTCATGTTAGCATATGTCTTGAGAAGTCTTTCGTGACGGATAAAAAGGAATGAGAACAAAGCCGCTCTGTCTGCTAGTAAAAAGGAAATACTGAGCCTGGACTGTGTCAGATTTAGTGGGTTTGGTTTTCTTAACCAAAGGATTGCTTTTTTAATTTAATTTGGGTTCAGAATAAGAGCAAGATAAAGGTCTCTACAGTAAAGGCACTTTCTTAATCAACCCTAGGATTCCTTACCCTGTTCTATTAAAATGGTTATTTTTAGGGTTATTGCTAAAAGACTAGAACAAATTTGGGAGATGGGTTGTCTTACACAAATTTCTGAATCATAACTTTGGTTTTTGAGGACAGATTGTGAAGTTCAGGTTGGCTTTGAACTCTCCCTTCTCAGCCTGCCAGGTGTTAGGAATGAATATAGGCAGGCATTCCAGTGTGCCACAATGCCCGTTACTTTGTTCAGTTTCTTAGTGTATGTGATGGTTTTTGTGGGGATGGGAGAAGAAGTGATAAATATTTGAAAATTGTAAATTTGGATAGCTGACTATTAACTAGAAGCAAGAAATTTATATTTGAAAATAATATGGGGGGTGAGAAAGCAGTAGGACTTAAAAATAATGCCTGGTTGTAGCCTGATGAAGCGCAGGTAGCTTATTTTGCTTCTGTGTGGTGTATGTGGCAGTTTAAAAGCTGGCCCAGCAGTTGCTGAGGTCCATCTCCAGTCCTTCTCTTGCTGTCTTCATCTGTTTCAAGCACCTAGGAGAGTGCTTGACCCCTAGCTAATTATCTATGGATATTTGTAAGGGAATTTAAATATTTTACATGGGAAAAATGGAAATAGCTAATTCTTGTTTAAATTCTGAATAGCTTCCTGGTGGTTCACCGATGTTTAACACTCAGCAGCAGCAGCAACAGCAGCAACAGCTCCCTCAGTTTGTACAACAGCCCCAACAGCAGCAGCTACAACTCTCTCAGTTTGTACAACAGCCTTCAGCTTCAAATCCCCAGCAGTCAGAGGAGCAGGTATGGGATTTTTAGCATCTTTCTGTATTTGCTTCCATCCTTTCATCCTTTCACTTTTAAAAAATAAATTTTGTTTTCTTTATGTCTGTGTATGGGTAATGGTGCACATGAGTCCAAAGGACTGGTAGGTTCTGTCCTCCTTCCACTGTTGGGTTCTGTGATCATCCTTGGGAAAAAGTGCCTTTACTGAAATACAGTGTTGGAGCTTTTTGTTGTTGCTGTTTTTGAGGCAGACTTTTACTCCGGCTTAGCTGGGAACTCAGCATTCATTCTGCCCCAGCACCGAGTGCTGGGATAACACGTGTGAACAGTGCCAGCTGTTTGCCATTTAAGTAGTATTGAGTACATTCACACTGTTGCACAAAGTATTTTTCATCTTGCAAAATTGAAATTCTATAAGCAACTGATAACGTCCTCAGTCCAAACACCACCATTGTGCTGTGTTTTTGATCTTAACCATCCTGAGTGCCTCATGTAGGGAGATGGAATAATGGTCCATGTGTCCTTTTGCATCTCTTGCTGTCTCCGCAGACAGATCATCATTTGGATATGTGTCAAGAACTTGTTGGGTCTTACAGTGCTTCTCTTACTTCCCTGAGACACTACAGTGTTCTACTGTTGTGCTGCACTGTCTTACACTCCCAGCAGCAGTGTGAACAAGGGTCAGTCTTTCTACATCCTCACAGATGGCTGCCTAACTTCTGTTCTTGGGGGTTTTTACTTTCTGCTATACTTTTGCATTCATATTGAAGAGATATGATTGACAAATTCAACTGATGAAACTTTTCACCTTTATTTTCCTCTTAAGAGTTTGGCAGTTTTACTTGCCTTTCTTACAATTTATCAGAATATCTCTCTCTCTCTCTCTCTCTCCCTCTCTCTCTCTCTCTCTCTCTCTCTCCCTCTCTCTCTCTTTGACTTTATATGATCTTGAGAGGGATGAAAAGACAAAGATGACAATCTTGTTAAAATTTTATTATTTTTATATGTATGGGTGTTTTGTTTGCATGTCTATGCACCATGGGCACTGTGTCCTATTGTTATGCATGGTACCTGTGGAGGCCAGAAGAGGTTATAAGTTCCCTTGGAACTGGAATTACAAATGATTGTGAGTCACTGGGTGCTGAAAATCAAACCTTGATTCTCCAGAAGAGCACCTAATGCTCTTAATCACTGAACCATCTCTCCAGCCCAAATTATTTTAACTCTTATAATCTTAATTTATTTAGTTATTTCACCTAAGATCCCGAAGAGTGGCCTTTATCCTTTATTGTGATGAAACCTATTATATTTAGCGTGTGTGAATATTGTTTTTTTTGCAACAGGCCCTTACTCTGTAGCGCAGGGTAGCATCAAATCTAGCATTAGTTCCAAGCACTGGGATTGCAGCAGGAGCCTGACAGGCACAAGTGCTTTCTCAATTATTGAGTTGAGTAATTCTATCCATTCATTTCCTCCTCAGCTCTGCTTAGGCTGCTTTCCACAAGTTTTGATACATTATATTTCTATTTTAATTCTACAAAATACTCTCACTTGATTTTAACAGTAATTTTTTTCTGTCCTCCTTCTAAGTACTGGATTACAAGCTTGAACCACCACAGCTGGTTTTGAAGCTTTAAATGTAGACATTTAGAATCAGTATGGCCTAATTGACCTCTATAATTAGTAAGTGACCCTCTATATCTCAAATTTTGCTTTCTTTTATTAATACTGATTGTGTACCTTTCCTATTCGTTTTTTGCTGAATGCTTTAGTAGTTGATAGTTAATTTTTATTCATGGTTTTTAGTTATTATTCTAGCTTGCTGGTAAATATCTCATTCTATTTGTGATATATATATATATATACATATATATATATATATATATATATAGTCTTTGTGGTCATTTTAGGAAAGAAATTGTATCAAATGCATTGCTTTTGTGAATTTTTGGGGTTTCCTTTTGTTTTATAATAGCACTGTTCTGGAAGTGATGTGAGGTTTTAATTTAGCATTTGTTTTTTGTTCATTCCAAGCCTGCTACTTCTACATGTGTTCATAATTTCATAATTTATATTTCTATGAAACCCAAGTTTATTCTTCCTCAAACATCAAAGAGATGCTGTCTTTTCACTGGCTCAATTTGTTTTGCCCTTTTTGCACAAGTCACATACTTTTTTTCTTTTTTTTAAATTCAGGGATCTGAACAAGTTTTAACTGCTCAAGAACAGGCCTTAACTGCTCAGCAAGCTGCTATTATTAATCTTACTGCAGTAGGAGGCTTTCCACAGTCACAGGCAGCTGGTGGGTATCATCCTGACTTCCTTCTGATCTCACTGTGTAAATTATTTCCCTTTTCTTCCTTGTAAGCATTAATCAGAAAAAGACTGAAGTGTTTAATCTGTGAACTACAAGATTAACAAACAGCTGACCAAGAATTTTTTCCTTAAAAATTACTTTGACGGCTTTGAATCAAATACATATATGTTCTCTTTACAGTGGTTAGGTGGCAAACTTTGACATGTCCATCTCAGTTCATAGAAAGCTGTCAAAGCAGTTTTCAGTGGTTAATTCTGTTTTCTTAATTACCTGGGCCCACATTGTCCTAGACTGCATCATTTTTCTCAGTTTGTATTGTATGAGTTAAATCTTTATAATTAGCAAAACTTATGTGAGCTACTTGTTTATAAAAATGAAACTAATGTGAATGCTCCCACTTGAAAGTAGGGAATGAATGAAAGTAGGAAATGGTAAACAAAAGGTATTGAATTCTGACTTCACATTTGAATAAGCCAAGAGATAGAATTTTAATAAAAATAATTAACAAAGCTATAATGGAATTAGAAGATTCAGTAAATTGTCCCTGTGTGCTGGCTGTGCCTTTAGATTTCTGTAACTTTGTTTTCAAGTTTAGCTGTCCCTTAGTGGGAGTAATTCACAGTTATGTTTTGAAACTAATTCTTACAAAGAGCTGTAATTTAGAATTTGTGAATTTCCAAATGCAGATTTGTAACTAATGTACCTTTACCACACAAGTCATTTTTCTAAAATAGCCATAGTAAATTTGTGAAAAGAATTGTAGACAGATCATAAGACTTTGTCTGGTTTCAGACAAACTGCAGTTACTTAAGCCTGGTCAGCCTTTTCACCTCTCTTTGAGAATGTGGAATGATGGATGGCCCGATCAGCTGTAATTAGTTCATCTCTGCGAGCTCACTAGATGTTGTATTTTAAAAGAACGTACATCATATAAGGGTGGCTTTCAGACAAAGGTCCAGTATCAAGTTCCATTGGGATGCAACGAGGATGTTATGGAGACAGAATGTAGTTGAGGTGCTAGAGTGTTTCAGCTTCAGAACACTGGGTACAATGCATAAACCTATAACCAAAGCGTTCTTCATGTGGAGAAAAGAGAATCAGGAATTAGCCGTTTCTACATAGTGGAGGCCAGCCTGGGATGAGACGAGAGAGAGAGAGAGAGAGAGGGAGAGAGGGAGGGAGGGAGGGAGGGAGGGAGGGAGGAAGGAAGGAAGGAAGGAAGGAAGGAAGGAAGGAAGGAAGGAAGGAAGGAATGCAGTACTTTAGTCTGTGTACTCCCTTCCCTCTGTATAACCAGAATTTTCTGGAATCAGTGATACCCTTAATTAGCAAGAGACAAAATTTATTTTGAAATTGGTATAATTTGTTACTTAAGGTAATTTCTATTTTTCTCATTTTCTATGCTGTTTTCTAACCCTGGTCGCCTTCAAACTTTTTAACTATCTTCCCCTTCTCCTGTAGTCTTGTCTCAGCTTGGCTCTGCCGAGAACAGACCTGAACAAAGCCTTCCTCAGCAGAGACTCCAGCTCTCCTCTGCCTTACAGCAGCAGCAGCAGCAGCAGCAGCAACAGCAGATTCAAGTAATCTAGCACCTTCATTTGATTAATTAAAACCCTTAAGTTTCAAAATACTGCCTTGCAGTGGGGCTTTCCTGCTAAAGCAATTGGTCAGTAACTTAGTTTTATTTTTAGAAATCTGACATGCTATTCAGCTTGGAGCACTAAGTGTAAATTATAATACTGCATACTTTAAATTATAATACTGCATACTTTAAATTCTTTTTAAGGGCTTGGTAGCACATTTCACACATCTCTTTAATGTGCATTGTACTTTGTAATAGTTTTAAGTGCCAATTATTAACTTGATGATTCTATGCTGTGGGAGTGTTCCCGTTGGTTTAGAAAAGTGTTGCAAATTACTTTAGGAAAGGGTGTCAGCACACTATGATCAACTCTTGATAGTTTATTTTGCTATGAATTATCATTATACAACAAAATGGTAACTGAAGTTGCTGCATTACTGCAGTATGGACTGCCAGGGCTAAGTAACAGATAATTGTATCATTTTTAAGACTCGTATTTAAAGCTTTTGTTCCCCCATGCTTCCTCTCTGAGGCTTATTTCCATGACTCCTGGGAAGCAACTGGCCACACCTGTGCATTTAACATAACGTGATCTCTTTTCTCCCCCTCCGTTTTGCAGCAGTTGCGATTCTTGCAACATCAGATGGCTATGGCAGCAGCAGCCGCACAGACAGCCCAGCTACATCGTCACCGGCATACAGGTGGCCAGTCCAAGAGTAAAGTGAAGCGAGGCATGCCAACCACTCCAAAATTCTGAGCAATTTTTCTTTCCTTTTGTCTTTTCTTTCTTGTTTTTTACAAACACAAGACCATTGAATGAATTTCTGCTTCATTTTCCTCCTAAGATGTCAGTATTTTACATTGATAGATGGTGCATAGTTTATACAAAAGCACAACTCTGTGGTTCTTACATGGAGACGTGGTTAAATGTTTTTTTGTATATACCATCTACAGAAATAATCTAAGAACTACTAGAGATATCTTCCAAAAGAATGTAGTTTGGTATTTATTTAGTATAAAAAGCCTGTGCACAGTGTAATAAATACAATTTTTACATCTGTTTTGCAATTGTGGCGGCTTCATTTGTGTTTCATACTCTGAATGACTTCATCCAGTAGCTTGTTCACTTCTTTGTGTCTTGTGACTGCTCGACTCATGCAGTCCTGAAGTTTAGCTCCAGTAAGTCCACTCCCACCTGAAAAATTAGGCCAGTTTTCAGTGTTCCCATTATTTTGTGAAAGTTGAAGATCATGTCAAGTGTTTGTTTTGAAATCAAACAACATCTAAATCAAGTGGTGTGGTCTCAAGACTCTAGAAGACAAATATGTCCTAAGTTTAGGATGACACACAACACTGAAACAGCAAAGACCATCATAAACTTCCGTCAGCTAAGCAGCCAAACATCCCATACTCCACTTGACACCCCAGCTATTCCCCACTGCAGTGGAAAGGACATACCTGGCTTGTGAAGACAGCACAGTTTGCCTTCCTCATCCATTACTATTGTTAAGGTTCCTGTTGACAGATGTTCTTCCTCTCCAGTAGGATCAACTATCAGCAAAGTGCTACATTAACAACAACAAAAAGGTATTAAAACAATGTGCATTGAGGGGGGTAGGGTATCATTTCTAGGAAGAGACTAATTTCAAACAGTATTAAAAGACCTGCTTTGATTTCAGCCTATGGAAGAGCTAATCCAGGACTGAAGGAAGCCAGAGTGGCAGCACCCTGCAGCCCAGTACGTAGGAACTCCTTGCTGTTCAGCTTTGGGAATTTCTTAGATTCTGCAGCAAATACTGGAGGCAGTTTCAGAAGTTTATAGAGTAGTAGCTTGGAGCATAGCTCAGCAATGGAGCACTTGCCTGGTATGAACCAGCCCCATACAATCCCTGTCATCATAAAGGAAAAAGGGCATAAAGAAACATAGGGAATTGGTGAGCATAGAATTATCCTGTACATCAGGATGCCAAGCAGATGGAAGCTCCGACTAAAGGAACTGCAGGGCAGGGCTCAGATGTCCACGGCAAATTCGGGTTGGTGATCAACTGGAGGACATTTCTTGTAAAGAGAGCTAAATGACAAGGTAACAAGCTATTAGCTTAGAACCCAGAATGGTACATTTGGTTAACTTACTCATCAAACACAGCAAAGGAAGTTGCAACTGGGGTTGTTCTAACATTCAAATAACTTTTCTTCTTTAAATTAACTTCTGCTAAAGCAGTTTCTTCATTTATAGTTACTTCAGGCAAGTGTACTAGAAAAAAGGCAAGTAAACATATAAAATGAATATGGTACATAGCTTCATTTTAATTCTTTCTTAACTTTTCCCCCTATTTAGCTTATCCAGAACAATTACTGATTTGAGGGGATCTCACGATGTAGTGTAGCCCATTTAGCTTGGAATTCACTCTGGAATTAAGAGTTGTGTGCTATTCACCTGTTACCAGTATAGTTTTATTTTGTTTAAATATCTCATAACAATTGAGGTAACTATGGTGGATGAAAACTGCTTTTCAGAACATCTTATGTTCCAGCCAAGCTGGTTTTTGTTTTTATTTTCCCCCAAAAAAGGGTTTCTCTTATGTAGTCCTATCTTTCCTAGAACTCGCTCTGTGGACCAGGCTGGCCCAGATCCCCCTGCCTTTCCTCCCAAATGCTGAGATTAAAGGCATGCACCGCTGCCCAGCTCAAAGTATCTATAACACTCATTTAGTCATCTACCCTCCTAAAGTAGTAGGTGCTGCTCTTCAGTATCATTTTATTACAAAGGAAGCAAGCAGGCTAGACGGGTATTTAACTAGGACTATACTAGTTACTATTAACTGTATCTTCCACTCTAAGTTGGATGTTTTAGATAGAGGATCCTGTTTTGCAGTCTGAACTGGCTTCAAATTGCTGTCCTCACCTGTGTGCTGAGGTTACAGACACAGACAACCATGCCTGGCTTTTATTATCGATTGCAGGTCATGTAGAATGACCTGGAATATGCACAAGTGATAGTCAAAGACATTACCAAACTACCCAGACCCTTACTAAGAAACATCACTATCAGGTGATATTTATGTCTGCCTGTATGAGCTACCTGGATTACAGTGAGAATTCCCTATCCTAGTCAGTAGATTCTAGGAAGGATGGCTGTCCTAATGACTACATGTGGAAACAGTCAAAGCAGTTCTAAAACACTACAGAATATAAAACTAGGATGTCCACTTTGAGAAAACCCTGTAAATTTAACTAACTTAGGAGCACAAGCTGGGCAAGGTAGTTCATACTTAAAATATTATCAGCCTCTGAGAAGCTGAGGTAGAAGGATAAGTTCAAGGCCAGCCTGGGTTATGGGATACTGTCTCACAACACAAACGTGAATGACGATTACATCTCAAGAAAACCCTGCCAAAGGTTTTTGACCAGCTGGACTCTGACAGGATTAGCAAGAAAATGTTTTCATTTAGGCTGCTTACCATTCTTTAAAGCTGCTAACAAAGCAAACGTGCAGGCATCCAAAATATTTCCATCGTAGTCTAGGCAAATAAGGTCACAGTATAGGACCCAAGCAAGCTAAAATAGTTCACACAAAATAAGTTAGACCTGATAATAGAATACTGCTATTTCCTTAGGCTTAAGAATTACAGAACCGCTGACTAGATAAGTAAGATTTGAAAGCCTAAATTTTTCCCCCTTTTATAAAGTACGAAGCCAAAGTGGTCAGGTTGGGCAAGCCAGGCTTTTGACAAACCAACCAACAAGTGATAAACTTGTCCATTTCCCTAAGTAGAGCTATAGGTGCAAAGAGGAAGGTTTATTCTTGCTGCTAGGTTAGTAAATGAAAGGCCCAGCTATAATCTGTGCTCTTGATGTACAATGTAGGTTTTACGTGCTAGTTAGCACTATAAATTAGTAAAGGAGGGCACTATAGGAAGCTTCCACATGGGTTCACCGTAAATATCAACACAAGTAAAACCTGATCTAAGGGATAATAAAAGCCTTTTTTAAAGAGGAAAATGTGTGTGTGTGTGTGTGTGTGTGTGTGTGTTAACCTTGGCTTGAACGTTAGCTCCCAGACAGGTAATTTATTACTTGTTAGTTGGACACGATGGCAGAAACCTGTAATCCCAGCATTTGGGAGATTAGGGAAAAGGACCAAGAGGTAAAAATCAGCCAAGATACACAATGTGACCCTAGCTCATCAAACTAAAAAATCCCAGTTGGAAAGGATTTATTAAGCAATGGTTTATTTAGACAATTATGGAATAATGATCTTTTACAAAATCCCTTCTAAACTCTAGAATCTCAGGGTTTAAGGTTGTTGATTCATCCCCACTACCATATTAAATAAAGCACATGCACACAGCCACTTCAGAGTTCATAAGAGTTCAGTCTGTTCTTACCTTGCCTGGAGAGATGCATAAGTCCTCTTTCTTAATTATCTGTGAGCTTGATTTAATGATAAAGAACACAATAAATATTAAGGCAAAACATTTAATAATGCATGGTAAAAATTCTTCATAAAAGTCTTACTTTTCAATGACATCTGCAATGAACTGGCTGGCTACTTGGGCCTCTTCTCCAGGAGGTCCGGTCCGAAACCTCGACGAACACAGCGGTGGTAGGTCCACATTAGGAACTGAAAGAAACACTGCAGCTAGGAACTAAACTTCCCCCTGATAGCTGAGGTTCTGCTGTGGTCCAAAGGAACCATGCAGTGAGATTTCAGCAGACAGAGCAGAAGGCTGACCCACCAGAACGAGGGCAATGGAGATAAAATCAGTTTGCAAGGCGCTGGGCAGGCATCCAGGAAAGGAGTCTTTCATACAGATCACATTGGGACTTTCAGAGAGAAAAGGGAGGTCCAAAGCTCAGAGATTTGCCCTTGCTTTGCCTGGGTATATAAACTGAGAACTTTCCAGAATAGGAGAAGAGCAGGAGAAGAGTAATGAAACTGGTGCAGACAAGTAGAGTGGAGAGTTCATTTCACCCTCAGATCTAAGTCCCGCGCTTGCTGCAAATCTGAGCTCTGACAGGACACTGAGGCTGGCACTCAGAGGTCCCTGATAAGGTTCCTAGTACAGGGACTGCCCATAGCACAGGTGATGGCCATGGGTAATAGACTCTTCGGGTGGAAAGCACAGCAGTGTTAAAATTACTTTTTCTCAGATTGCCAAGCTCAGAGAAAAGGAAATTTATACTTGTCTAAAGTTTCCCACACTGCTTAAAGAGCTTATTATGCTTCAATCATAATTCTTTACAATTTTTCTGGTTTCTTCCCCCAAATACCTGTGTGTAGCAAGACAGTTCTCTGCTCACACCCAACTATTAAAGTTTTGAATGTTGGTTCCTACCTTAAAGAAAAGATAATCCAAGACAAAAATATTGCCGAGTCTAAACTGAGTGCAGACAGATTTCAGTCCGCACTGATGGCCTTTACCTACAACTAACTCTTGGATAAGGAATGTGTACAACTCAGTGTATAAACAGAGACAACCCACATGAGTTGGCAAAGTTCTGAGATGTACCTTACCTCTATTATCAAACAAGCAGAAAGCTTTGGGATGAGGGGACATTATTTCTGACCACTACCTCAATTATCAGAACTCCACTACAAGAGTTCACACGAGCTTACTCGTGTGTCTGTAAAAATTACAAGCGCATTTAACTCACCAACATATCCTCTATCAGGAGCATCTAGTGGTGGTGCTGCAAACTCCTACAAAAGCAAATAAATGTATTCCACTGAAAGGAGTCATTCAAAACCATGAAGACAGTCTAGGAGTTAGTTACAGACGCTGTACCGAAGACCTCCCCGGCCAGTAATCCCACGACGAGCATCTAGAATGCTTGGGGGATCGAGGACACTGGCACTGCCCTTCCCAATGGCTCACAGGGAAGTCAAAGAAGGGAGGCGTGAACAAACTGCTGCTTATTCTCATGACGAGGATCCGTGGGCTTCTGCCCCATCTGTGCACTTGTTCAGGAGCCGAGAATCTGAATTTAATCCCAAGTGACACAACATGGCTAGACTTAGTAACTAGTAGGAGTCACAAGTACGACAACTAATAGTAACTAGCCCAGCTCAGCTGTAGACACACACTTCCTAGGCTCAGAGGCTTGGGGCAAGTTATTTGACCTTATACGTTTCTCTGCTTTTATGAGGATAGGTGAACAGTACCTGCCTACTTGTAGGGGCTATTTCCAAGGTCCAAATGAGACAGCACCATTAAGTTCCAAGTATAAACCTGGCAAGGAGTACATGTTCTGATAGCTATCACTTCAGCGTGACCACAGAGCTCTGAAAGAGGAAAGTCGCTGAGTATAATGTCAGAAAGGACAGGCTTTGTCATCAGACCCTGTTATGAGCCTGACAAACCAGGGAAGCCACTGAACTTCATGGGCTGAGCAGGAGGTGGAGACCAGTCAATCAGCAAAGCTCCTAAGAAGGTGCTCCTAAGAGCAGGCAGCCAGCAGACAGCTACTGCTCCTTTAAGACTAACAAAGATTATGAACAGCTAAAAGCTAACACAAGCTAATTTCAAAACAATCTTACCAAAATTTTAAAGTACGAGGCGCTGAGATTCAGTTATTTGCCCTGGAAAGGGTTACACCCAGGTCGGGATAAATCTAAATTCCAAGCCCTAATTAACTACGACCTTGTGAGTCTGAAGCTAATTTGGAACTGGGCAGTCACCAGACACCAGCAAACCTACTGCTTTTACTCCGCAGACGACTGTGGTGTTCCCCAGCTTCACGAGAGCAGAACCATCCGCCGTGCTGATGGAGCCTGCAAAGGGAAACGTGGCACATATAAACAACCTTCTAAAAAAGCAAAGGAGAATGAATAAACGCATTTTATTTGACTATAAAGTCATTCAGATGCTTTAACCTGTATGGTTATCTGGCTCGACCTCTGCAGTTGCCTCTGGAACTTTGGACAGGTTCAGGTCAGTGATTTGAAAATGGTATGGCTACTTAATCTCTTTTCCTCTGTCCCCCAATCTGAGCTAATCAGCTTTAGATCAACTACAAAGATGATAATTATATATATATATATACATATATATATATACATACATACATACACACACACAATCTTTAAACATCATCAAATACTTCAGGCATAGATAGTATAATTGGCTGGGGAAAAAGTGGCACACAGCATAAGGGGGCGGGGTGTCACAGTAACTGAAATGAAGTGTATCTTCACCTATGTTGACAGTTGTGGTTCTGAATTCCCCAAGTTCTCTTCCATCAGGACGGCAGTTTTCTTTCTAAATGTGTATAAGGAAATAGATTACATATGGATTTCACTGACGCAGGGGAGAACACATTAAGTCCCAATAATTTAAAGGAACGGAAAAAACTATGCCTAGAAGTATGATACTTATCAAAGGGCCTGATATGCGAAATCGCCTCTACTCACCAGAAATCTCCTGTAATACTCCAGGGGTTCCACAGTTCTGAAACATGGTTAAAAAAAAAAAGTGTTAAAGTCCGTCAGTGTGCATCCTAGAGTCTAAAGCCAGCACTTAAGGGTGTGACGCTGAGGCATCCATCTCCACACGCTCAGGTGTTAACCATAGTAATAAAAAGTCCTAACAGTAGCAACCCGTCTTCATCGGTCCGCTTTACTGTGCCCCAGTCAAGAGGACCGGAGTCCAAGGCCCTGGACACACTTAGAAGAGGATTCACTTGGGTGTCAGCAACGCAACTCTAGTTCTGAAGCTGGGGACTCAGCATCTGACGCCATGCGGTAATCTGCATAAGCGACCACCAAGGACTGTGTTTTTTGCAGTTACGGGAGGTTCCTGTGGCCTCATCAACTACACGCAGACAGAAGTAACAGCAGCTGTGAGTGCACGCCCTCGCAGACACACGAGATCGCGGTTTACACGCGTGGGCAGCCTGGCGCTCCATCAGAGCTCCCAAAGGTTTCAGGTCCTTCCGGAGGCGGCACTCCGGTTTCCCGTGGAGAGCGGCCTGGCGCTCGGATAAGAGGTCTGAGCCGTCCTGGCTGCGCTGTCGCTCAGCACCTCCCGTGGGCAGAGCCCTACCGCGGCCGCACGAGCACTCGGGTCCCCGCCGCCGCCACGCGCCACACCCGCGCCTCTTGTGCGCGCCACCACTCACTTGAACCCGGCCGCCATCTTCCCGCCTGCACCGCGCCTGCGCAGCCCGCCGCGCCTGCGCCCCGCCTTCTGCCGGCGTCTCCGGCGCAGGCGACTCGGAGGAGTCCTGGGTGGAGAAGGTGCTCCTTCTGTGGAGGCTGCTGTGCTCCCGGCTACGGGGCGTGAATAGCAGCTGGGGAGCCCGGGCGTCCCACGAGCGCCTTCTTACGACCAGGCCTGATGGGGAGGCCGGGTCGGTACGGTCACAACCGCCGTTGACGCCAACTCCGGCACGTGCACGCACAAACATACACGCGCGAAATTAACCGGGGAGACTCTAAAGCAGTCCGCGGCGCCAGGCACCCTTTGATGACTGCACTGCAGGGCACGGTGTGAGACTGGCAGCGCTGTCAGTTCGCACACGACCAGTGCATTGCACTCCGGGAGCGGCCGAGCAACCCTCGGTGGAGCCGTGCAAGAGCGCTGTGGGTGTCGCCGGGCTCCTGCAGTGGCGGGACGCGGGCCCCCGGGTGGCGCTGCGGGCGGCAGCCTTGGGCCAGCAAGGCCTCTCTCAGAAAAGGCTTGGCTGTTAGGCAAGTGACCTGCAGGATGGCTTAGCTGCTGCTGCCGGCTCACAAGGGTCAGCTAAATGTTGACTACCACGGTGCAAAAGATAATGTTTTTGCAGAGCAAATATAAAAAGAGATCGATGTAACCCGGTTTCTACGACTGCCTGTAGGTTCCTTTCACTGCATTTATAACTCCCACAGAAATGCCAACATGTCACCATGAAGAAGAGAAATTCTTCCTCAATGCCAGAGGCCAGAGGGAAACTTGACCCAGCACCTGGGACTCACCTACCAAACAGCTGTCTGTTCCCGTGCCTTCCTACAAGGAAGAGAAATTGTAATTCCTACTTGACTTCTTTCCCTGATGGGTCCTTGGGGGAGAAAGGAAATCCTGTAGTGTTTGCACTCAGAGAGGAGGGCACGGTTGGCAGCTGTGACTGGGAAGAGGGGAAGTGAGGTGGCAGGACTGGAACTTTCTAGAGAAGTCCTATGATGAGAACAAGGAACATTCTGGGTGAGGATAGATTGACATCCCCGAGGGTCTTGATAGATGACAGGCACATCTTCCCTATGTGAATAATATGCTGGGCTTGCTGACTCATTTTCAAAAGTAATCTATAACGTATTTCCCCTTTAGTGCCCGTGATGATGGATGAAGCCCTGAACTACCTAGAAAAGAGACAGGTATCACTTCTCTTTCAATGTCACATCTCTAGTTAAAGCTAAAGAAGGCCAGCAGTGGGGCTGTAGAGATGGCTCAGTGGTTAAGAGCACTGGCTGCTCTTCCAGAGGTCCTGAGTTCAATTCCCAGCAACCACATGGTGGCTCACAACCATCTGTAATAAGATCTGGTGCCCTCTTCTGGTGTGCGGGCATACATGGAGGCAGAATGTTGTACACATTTAAATAAATAAAAAGTCAGCAGTTGTAGCTAGGTGCTCTGTGGGAGGCAGGCCCAGCATGCAGCATGCTACCTCCAGAAGGAGACAAACGAGGGAGCTGCCATTTCTCCGATGTCTACTCCCCCTCCTAATTGTCTCTTGCTCAGTGATGTAGATTACGTACCAGTGAATGCGGGCAGGCTCACTTCTGTGACGTCTGCGTGTGCAGTATTCATGTACAGAGATCCACTGGGGCCCTTATAACAGAGACTGTAGAACATCTTTTCTCAAATGCGCTCATATTATGTGATATGAAATTACAGCCTTAGAATTTTAAATGATAAACTAATCACACAAAATTGCAATATTGTAGTACAAACTTTCTTCAGCTACAGTCACCAGTACTGGGCTTCCTTACATCTAAACATGCATGCAGGTGCTCAAACATCCTAGGCAGGCATGCGGCAGGGGATGTATTTCCAATCCAAAAAAAATAATAAATGACTTTTTAAATGTCATTTAAATTCAGAATATATATATATATATATATATTATGTCTCTTGGAGTCATCTTGGGACAGTTAATGATGAAGTGAGATTTATAGCTCATCTCTTTCCGTCTCTGTCTAGAAATTCCTTAGTTGGTTTGCTTTGGGTGTAAGGCACATTTCTTGGCAGAAAGGGGCTGTTACAAACTTGAGCTTAAGTGTGAAGTAAAGCAGAAGTGAACTGGGCTCCTCCTGTAAGACTTGAAGAGTTCTGCGCACAAAGAATCTCCCTCTAACCTCAGATCTCATACGCGCCGCTCCTCTCCAGCCTGCTGTAGCATCACATATGCCTGCTGCCTCCACTTGTGTGGTCCAGGGCAGATGTCTACCCATCATCTCTCCTGTTCTTTCCGAGCCCTTTATTCCATATGGTTTGTGTACTACTGCCTGCATCGGTCCCAACAACACTAGAGCAGCTCTTACTTACATGACAACTTTGTTGGTGATGGGAAGATGTCTTAGGGGTACAGGCTCTTGCCCTGCAAGCCTGATGTCCTGTGTTCAGTTCCTGAGAAGCCACGGTGGGAGGGGAAGACCAACTACAAGTCATCCTCTGCCCTCCATGCATGTGCACGCCCACGTGTGTGAGCACACACACACATGCACACAAACATCAAAAATGAATTTGAGCCGGGCGGTGGTGGCGCACGCCTTTAATCCCAGTACTTGGGAGGCAGAGGCAGGTGGTTGCAGAGGCAGAGGCAGGAACTCTTTGTGAGTTCGAGGCCAGCCTGGTCTACAAGAGCTAGTTCCAGGACAGGCTCCAAAGCTACAGAGAAACCCTGTCTCGAAAAACCAAAACCAAAAAAAAAAAAAAATGAATTTGAGAGAATAATGGGTTTTTTTTTGTTTTTTTTTAATATTTTTTATGGTTTATTTAACTTTATTTTTATGTGCATTGGTGTGAAGGTGTCAGACCCCCTGCAACTGGATCTTCAGACAGTTGTGAGCTGCCATGTGGGTGCTGGGAATTGAACCCAGGTCCTCTGGAAGAGCAGTCAGGACTCTTAACCACTGAGCCATCTCTCCAGCCCCGAGAGAATAATGTTTTACAATACAGTTTTACACATTGCCAAGGTGGTGCACAGGGTAAAGACCCCGCTGCCAGGACTGACCATCTGAGTTTGATCCCTGAGGCTCGCATGGTAGGAGATAGTGGACACACTCAAGTTGTCCTCTGACCTCCATGTGTGTACCAGGGTCATGCCCCTCACATATACAGCTTCAACCGTTGGTCCTCTGCTCATACAAAGCTGGTAATGTAACACCGTAGCAAATGGCCTCAGGGATGGGGTATCTAGGAGAGAGCACAGGTGGGAGAGGAAGCCAGAATTAGTGAAAACAAGGTCGGCTCACTCTCTGACAGTTGCCATGGTGACAGGAACGAAGGGTTCCACTAAGACATTAATATCTCCAGAAGGCAGCACTTGCAATGGCAGAGTAGTTTCATTACTGACTTCTTAAAAGTGACACTACCTACCAATGCTGCAACACTTGAAACTAAATCACAGCAGATTAGTCCACTAGGACCAAATCACATCCAACCAAAGGACCAGGGTGTGAATCTTGATACAATGGAGAGTAGGAAATTCCCACTAATATAAGGTTCCTTAATACCGGTCATCGCTGAACACACTAGTTGATACCCATGTTCAGCACCTTTGAACATGGCAATCAAGTACTTTCCAGTTCTCCATGCTTGCTTGTTTTGTTTCAGTTTAAAGGAAGATTTATATTCAGGAATATAAGGAATATTCAATAATTTTTATTTTATTCCAGTAAACATACTGTGGGATCATTTAATCGTTCATATCATTGTCTGTTATGAAAGGCTCAGTCATAAATGTCACGTGCTTAAGGACATTCCTGGATGATACCTACAGTACTTCTGTTTAAACCATTTCCTAATTGATAAATTTATGGTTGCTTCCAGTTTAGAAATACAATTGGTGAAATTATTTTTGTAATTTTAAAGAGCATGAGATTTTAATTTTTAAACTTTAACCCAAAAAGAATGATGATGGGTGTGTATGTGATAATAGGTTTTCCCTTTCATGTTAACATATCCTATTCTAAATATTGAACTCATACAACCATACCAGGATTGTTAGAGAAAATCAGCATGACAGCCTTTTGTCTACATTCGGATAACTGATTTCAACCCCAGCAATTGTTGTGCCAGACTCTGTTGATTCCCTATGGGAGGCCTTACCTTGCTGAGATGTAGGTGAGAGGTGGGGTGGGGAGAGGTTGGAGTGAGTGGGAGGAGTAGAGAGGGGAAACTGTGGCTGGCATGGAAAAAGAACAATACATAATCAAATTTAAGTAAAATTATTATAACCTACAAAGAGCGCTAATAAAATGTGTATGTGCACATTCCCAATTTTTATCTCCATTTTTAATCAACATGTGAGATTATGTTTGAAAACAATGTGCTTGCTGGCATAGCTATATGTTTCTACTAGAAATTACATGATGTTCAATAGGTTTTAAGTATTTTAAGATATACAATCTTGAATAAACTCAAAATTATTACCTTTATAACTTAACCAATTAAATTATTTTATACAGAGTAAATGCTATTGATTAATAATTCAAATCATCTTGTCTTCTCATGACCTTCTGTCCACTTTGCTCTAATTCTCACTGTGAATTTAATCACCGTCTTTGCATTTGTGTTTCTATTACAAACCCAGGGAACTATGGCAAATCATGAGTGTGACTTCTCAGAACTAGAAGATGCTTTCATTACATGCGGACGTGTTTAGTCGCTAAATCCAAAAGCCACATTAGTTACCTGAGAGTCTTCTCTAAAGAGACTAATCTCTAGTGAGATTTAAATATTTCAAGGCATAATCTCTTTTGGTGTGTGTGTATGCATATGTGCATGTTTGTGTGTTTAAATTTAGTTGGTTTTCATATTTTTGATTGTGAGCATAGCCTGTAACAGCTGAGCCATCTAAAGACAAGATCTCCTGAGTAAATTGCGAGCATGGGGACCAAGGGAGAGGGTTGAATAGGAGAGGAGAGAAAGGGAGGGGAGCAGAGAAAGATGCATAGCGCAATACAAGAAAAAATTAGTTGATTTTGGATCATTCTAG